GCCTGTGCGGAAGTCATCATCAGAGTCAAGTGACTCACTTGACTCTGATGATGATAATCATCTTCCGCCTGTGCGGAAGTCATCATCAGAGTCAAGTGACTCACTTGACTCTGATGATGACTTCCGCACAGGTTGTCGAAACGTCAGTCACTACCACCGACAACAGTCCTTCTCAGAACTACACTCACCCGGACGATCAAACTACACCTTCATATGTTACCCCCGAGCTCAAGCCATTTACTGCATTTCATTCAGTTCGTTGGATTTATCCTAAGCCCTTCTTCAATAATTCAAGACTAGTTTTGCTTTTATTTCACAGTCAAGGTTCACGCAGGTTTCTTTCCAGTTTCAATGAAAAGATGTGAAAGACAGTTGGTGGAGAAAATTAAGTTGTTTTAACATTTTTCCCTTCTTCTTAGGGTCTCGTGGTCTCCTTCGTGAAATCTGGACCGCGACCGTGAAGTCCAACTTAGCAGACATTGCTGCCCTACAGTCGTCTGCCGCTGACTTTCATTTTGAGTACTTGACCGAAAGTAGCTTACCGAAAACTGTGTCCTGGGATAGAAATTCTGGTTATAGCGCCAGGGTGACTGGCTATTTCGTGCCCTTTCAAGATGACGTGTACAGATTCGGTATCCTATCAGATGACACTAGCGAGCTATATCTTAGTTTGAAAGGCGACCCCTCTGACAAGGTATTACTATCATCACTATTGTACCGTTTTTTCTTGAACACTTTATTTGTTTTCAAACAATTTATCGGCTGGCTAGGAAAAATAACAAAAAAAAAAAAACCGACGTGTTATTTTGTATTTCATGGATTAGTTTGCCTAATCATTCAGTTTTCGTTATACAGTGAACAGCAGAACATTTCCAAAGATATGATAATTCTTGAAAAGTCTCGCGCCAAAATCTCTGCGGTAGATCACAGGTTTTCTATGGTAGATCGCAGGTTTTTCCAGCAACAAGGGCAACAACATCTTGTTGTCATCACCTTACTGCGTTCGCATACCTTACCTTAGTCGTTATGGAAACAGCCTTAAGCGTAACTGCTGGGCCCACATAAAAACAATGAGACTCCATATCTTATCTGTTATTTCTTTAGATCAAGATCGCGAGTTGCTCATCAGCAACAACGAACTGGGACAGTAACAGCGTACAGGAGTCTGAACCGTTCTCTTTAGAGGCAGGCAAGGAATACTATATTGAGGCATACCACAACGACTATGGCGGTGGCCATCACATGAAAATCCGAGTGGGCATGGAGATGACTCAACACACCAACGCTGAAGTTGGTGCTGCAAGAGACGAAAAACAAAAAATCAGGATCAGCTCGTCTGTGCTGTGGGAAAAACAGGTTTGACCAATCTTTCACTTCCAGCATGAGGGATTGGAATGGTATTTTGGGTATGGTAAACGTTTTTAGGGGAAGAAAAAATGAAAATAAAGCATGGTGGATGAATTTTTGTACTCGAAGTTTCATCATTTCTTTAGTCACCTCTCTTTGGGCGAAGAACTTGTTTCCCAATTATCAAATTTTTAAAATTCTCTTTTAGATTTTGGACTTCACTGACTGGAACGAAGATGAGAGAGTTTGCGAAGTGCAACGACTTTCTCTTCAGCCATTGCAGTGCGTGGAAACTAACATTACATCTTGTAACAATACCAGTGATACTTTCACGTTGTCTTACTTTGATGAAAGCATAACGTTATCCTTACAAGGCACCAACAGCTCAATATTGGCGCAGAGATTGAGTGAACTTAATGCTTTTACAGGCCGGGGTCAAATTAACGTCAATGCTGCTAAAGTGACAGAAGGAAATGCCACCTTGTTTCTCATTCGGTTCTGCTTTAATGATCCGCGAGGGATTGAGGTGTTGAACGGAACTGCACAGAGTAACCAAACCCTGGACTTAAGTATAACTCGCGACGTGAAGGGAGAGTCCGCCAAAGATTTTCAGCTCTTAATCGGTGGTGTGCCATCCATTGTTTTGAAGCCGAACTCTAGCATTGATAAGATCGAGAAAGCTCTTAAACGCTGGTTTTCTGTTGAATGCGAAGAATCCTCCATAGGTAAGTAAAGATAAAGCTTCTCTACACGCTTCATAGCTATTGCAAACCTAATAAGCTACAAGCTTACCTAGTAAGCTGTAAGCACAGCTTTTGGAAGAATTCTGAAATCAAATTTCCTTTGCAGTTCTACAAAGGACCCACAGTGGTTGAAAACGTTGACAAATCTTACAAACCCAGGACTTCAATTCATCTTTTTCATATAACTGAACTTTCTGTTTCTTGCTTTTTTTATTTTTAGTCGGGCGTATCTTTTATAAGGACTACGAAGGAGAAAATATTTATGGAAGGGAGTCTGGTGAAAGAGTTTCCGATATGCAAGCCTTCTGCGGAAGACATGCTTTGAAAAATCCGACAATTCTATGGAAGGCTGATTACTCGGCATACTTGAATAACTTCCCTCAACCTACATATTCAGTTGCTAGGTACAAATGGGTAAGTATAATAATCATGTAAAATACTTTTCAATACTGGGGTATTAAAGTACCTTCTGTACATTTTTATAAATACTTATTTGAGTAAACTAGAGGTCTACACTAGGTCCAGCATAGTAAGCTGACTACCACAATTATTTCAAGGCATTACGCGCTCATTAAGAAAAACCCATACATGAGATAACCAAAAAAAAGTTAGAACTTGGAAGCAATGGTAATTTACTCAGCTTAATAAATAGTGGAGCGTGAAATTCTTGCCCGTAGCTTCGATTTGAAGGACCTGGCACTAGGCTGCTTTGCAAATCACGTTGATTAAAAGGTAAAAACTGAGGTAAGTCTGAATGGCCTACATTATGCGTGAACAAAACCTAGAATTTAGAGATAGATTTAGTGCAAAGCCATACCATTTAAACAATTTTAAATGAGCTAAGAAAGGCTGGGTGAGAACCCTGATCAGTTGTCTGTCCTTCTTAATTCTCACCTTTCCTCCATTTAGTTTTGCTTCGCCTACAAAGGGCCTATAAAAGACCAAGTGAGGTTTCGAGTGAAATACCGAGATAGCGTTAATGAAGAGAGATACTCGACGCGCTGGTACAGCTTCATTAGAAGTTCTGCACAGCTCTCCAACTGGGGATTTTCATGTATAGATGTCTGGTCGAAGATTAGCGAGGACTTTGGAGATCAGGCAAAGAGTGTTGAGATGTACAGTATCGAAATCAGCCGCCTTGAGGGGTATGACGAAGATGTTTTCGTGGATAATGTGTGGATTGGTAAAAACCAACTATTAGGTAAATCATTTTACTAAACAACAAACATATGAAATACATATATATGAACTGCGGTTATGAAACGTATATGTGCACGATCCTTCGCAGTAAAGCACTATTTAAGCAATAGTTTATGTCGAATTAATTTGATGGCCTGCTCCCAGTTGGCTTGTTAGCTCAATTGGTAGAGCGCTGCACTAGTATCGCAGAGGTCAGTGGTTCGAATCCCGTACAGGCCTGAATTTTTTTCAGGTCTGATTTTCACTATTGCTTAAATAGTGCTTTACTGCGAAGGATCGTGCACATATACATTTTACTAAAGTTTATTAATTTGGTGGAAGGAGATACGCAGCGATAGGGGAATATTAAATTCCACTTTCGCCATTAGTCTGTTGGGGGTGATAACATTGGGGGAGAGGGATTTTAGAAGCTGTGTGTGTAGAAGAAAAAACGAGGAAGACTCTGTGTACAGATGACCCTGTTTGTCGCAAAAGCTAAACTTGTTTCCACTCATTTAAATGTGAGCTAACTGTTCACTTTCTATATCACTTTGCACTCACCAAGCTAGAAAAACTCACAACTCTTGTTGCAAGTACAAAAAAAAAAATGCGATACGATGGGGAAAATCCAACTTGCTATTCACTTTCTAACTTTCAGATGGGTGTAGCTTGCAGTGTTTAGAATTAAGTAATAGAACGTTGTTTCTTGTGTCCATTTTAGTAACACCAGTGAGCAGTGGCGCCATGCCAAATGGTTTCATCATCAAAGACTACAAAATAGAAAAGACCACTGAGACGAACTGGACTATCTCCCTCCTCCCTGCAAATTGTGGCTCCCCCATGCCGCTGTTTTCCGTTGTAGAGTACACCGGGGAGGAAAATGGCAGCCCTGATGATGTCACGTACACTACACCGGGCCTCAACTCCACTGTCCGAGTGAGAAGAATTCAAGAAGCTTCACCTCCAATAGAAGGAACGTTTGACATCGACTATAACGGAAATGTGATCAAGGGTGAGTAGTTTTCGGAAAAAAAGCTTTGACTTCATAGCAATTATAGCTAGATAAAACTCTTTATGAGACAGCTGACAAAATTATAACTGAGGCACACTTTCACGAGCAGGCGTTGGACATTGTGAGATGGTAGACGCTCGGAGTTGGAATTGCTATAGTCCTATACCCAACAAGTGCGAGTGGAAATGACTGAACAATGACTTTTTGAAATCATCTCTGTATACGTCAAAGTTATAAAGCAACTATTGAACGGGTGGTTTTGTGACAGAAAAAGCCACCTGTCTTAATCTGTCAAAACCATTTTCACCTGACCCCAGCTAAGTAGAACCTGAGTGATCTTATTAAGAAGATGATTGCGAAGAGGACATAATATGCCCTGTTTACACCTACCAGCCTTATCTATCAGATCCAATTCTAGAGCATTAGTGCATGTTATCCAATAAAAAGCGTTGTATTTTTACTTGCCCTATTTATGATGTTGCAGACATTCCAGTCGACATATCTGCAACGAGACTCCAGGATCTTTTCGAGCAGGAGTTCGAAGAAGGTATAATTGAAGTTGAACGATCTGGGCACTGTGCAGAGTTTGAATGGACTTTCACATGGAAGACTCACGGAGGTAATCATCCTGAAGTCAGGGTCAATGACAGCGGACTCACTGGTGTTCAAGTGACCACAACGGTAACAACCATTCAAGATGGCGGCTTATTCTTGGATCCAATCCCTGGTGAATTCTTACGAGTGCCATCGACCCAAACTCAGGTGAGTGATGATGCACAAGGCGTCGTATAACATGACAACATAGAGAAAGGACACACGATAGATATGTCGTCGTGGCAATTATGGCATCTTTATATTTCACTTTCCTAAACGCCCCTCTTCCCCGCCTCTGTTCCATTTATTCAATGAATCCCATTCCATTTATTGAATGATCCCCCTAATCGTCTATCCCTATCCACCGTATGTAGCTTCTTCTCCAGCTCACCGTCTGTTTTTCGTCGTTTATTCTTTCCTCTGTTTCGTATTCCATCTCTTCCTAACTGTTCCGCTGATTTTCTAGTTATGCCTTCTAATCCTCTCTCCACAGTGATACTTATGATGAAAACGGACAATTTTGCAAAAAAGCGCTGATGTGTATTTTATCACAGATTCCGTCCTATATTTCTTTCCTCTTTAATTCCTCTATCCATCCCTGCTTCTGTCTCCTCTTCTCTTGTTAGGTTCTACCAACTTCAGGGATTTCTCTCTTATTCACCCATGCATTCATTTATTATTCTTCTTTACTCAGGTTGTGGTCGTGGTGAACGAAATCACAGGATCGTGTTCGGACAACAACTGCTCTTTCAATTATTCCGCGGACCAAACGCCGAAGCTGACGTCTATATCACCGGCCTCTGGTCCCGGAGGTCCCGAAGGCACAGGGACAGTAATCACTTTGGGTGGCACAGGATTCTCCTCTAACAATGGCGACAATATTGTAACAATAGGTGGCTCCACCTGTGTCGTCATCAGCAGCGATATTGGCAACATAACTTGTCGAGCTGGTAGATATCCTTGTGGTCATGTATTAGCGCAGTTAGTTATTTTTATGTAGATCTCATTGCAAAGCTTATTGGCCTTTCATGTGTGTAGTATGATGACGTGCACCTGCTTAAAAATTAAATTTCTTTGTTTCAATTCTTAGCACATTTTTTGAACTTTCGTAAGCCTCTCCTAAATTGTCTTTGATGCTTTGATGTGCACCTGCTCAGTCAGAAAAATAAATGCCCCTTTCCTGAGTAATCCTTCCTCGGTTCCTTTCATTGCGTTACCTACTTGTGACACATTGCTTTTCATTTACCTTCTTGCTTCAAACAGGTGCACTTAGCTTTTTTAGTAAAGCGTGGCGTCATGTGCTAAACGTAAATTGAAATTTACACTTTTACGAAGGCTGCCTATCTTTTTAACTCCAAAGACTATGGGCCCGGTGGAAGACACTTGGTTGAGGTCCTCGTAAAAGAGAAAGGTCTTGCAGACAATAATCAACTACTTAATTTTACCTACATCATTACTGCTACGTCAGTTAGTCCGGCCAGCGGCAGTATAGCTGGTGGACAGGTGATCACTATTTCTGGCAGTGGCTTCGGAAGCAAAAAAGAAAATGCGTCAGTGTTGCTTGACGGTTCCCCTTGTGACGTACTTACCATCACCATGTCCCAGATCACATGCAGAACCTCTGCACATTCAGCGGGAACAGTTTCTGTAAACATTTCTATCGATGAAAGTTCTGTTACTGTTTCCAATGCATTTAAATACGATTCGTCTCTCACTATTGACGTCACTAGCGTGAGCCCACAGCAAGGGCGTGTCAGCGGAGGAGAGTTAATTACCATTTCCGGTTCCGGTTTTTTGAATGAGACCAGCGTGCAAATAGGAGATCAGAACTGTGTGATACAGTCCCGTACCGGGGTAGAAATCACTTGCCTTGCTCCACCTCATGCTCCAGGAAAGTTTGCTATTCGACTTGTCACACCAGAAAAAGGTTTTGCGTCGATCCCTACCGCATACAACACCTTCGAATACCTACTTGAAGTCCATTCCATTTACCCCCTGAGTGGCTCAGTTGCAGGCGGAACACACGTTACTATCACCGGCAGGGGCTTTGGGTTTAACGTGACACGTGTCTCCGTTACGGTACAGGGCAGACCATGTCGAGTCCTATCATGCAATGATACCCAAGTTATATGCGAAACAAAGGATAATTTTCAAACTGTGGAAATTGACAACAGTGGACGTCATCCGGGTTAGTTTGCCTTCTTCATTTGAGTAGCAAAAATCCCTGACCATTTTTTAACCCTTATGAACCATACTATGAGCCTTGTGGTACATTGAATACTCACGCTTCTGTCCCTTTTCTGCAGCGGGGGGGTTCTGAGTTTTTTTGAGTGAGATACCTTCGAAAGGAGATTATTTAGTTGCAGATTCATTTTGGAAATGATAACCGATGAATAATCACTGCAAACATGAGCTAACAGTTTTCGTTTCTTTTTCTTCAGAGTTTGGACTTGGATATGAATGGTCACCGAAACACGTGACTTGTTACCAAGGCGATACGGTGAAGGTAACTCAGTAGAGATACACTGAATCTATGGCATAGACAGCTGTTTCTAGATGGGTTGTCGGTAAAAGAGTAAAAGAGCACGTGATAACCCCTAAATGTTCTTTTTAGGACACACTTCCTTTACCTCATTGTGAGGACAAAGCAAGGTGATTTTGATGAATTTACACGTTTAGTTGACTTAGCAAAATTCATCGATTACCCGATGTCCAGTTTTCCTTTCGTGATTATCCGGTGCACTTTTGTCCTTTTTTGTCAACCTTTCTCGAAAGAGCTGTGTATCTCTCTACGGCCGTTTTACCTTTAGCATTTTGTTGCATTCATCTATTATCTCTAATCCAACGGTCGAAACAGAAAGGCCATTCCTCTGTGCATGACCTGGCTTGCCAACCAAATCCTCATTGTACGCTGACACTACGATTTAAAATTCTCCTTAATTTTTACGATAGGTTCATTTTACTTCGCTCATTTATCTGCCTATTTGTTAATTATTTAATTTGTTTCCCAATGGTTAATCTATTTTTCATGTATTCAATTATTTTTGTGCTTGTATATATATATATATTTTTTTTGTTAATAGTGGAGCTGGGCCGGTCAGGAACTTTCCAACGCTGTATACAACGTCTTTCAAACAAGAGATTCTTCCTCAGTGCAGCACGATGGGTCAGGTTTTCGCAGCAATGCTCCTTCCAAGACTGGTAGTTTCAGTCATAGGTAACTGCAATGACACAATTATTCCGAAAAAAAAAAGCAGAGAAAAAAAGTCGCCGAAAAGATTTTTGTTTTCATCTACCATATCCAATAGTAGATTGAATTTCTTGTGTCGCAGCAATCGAACAAATCTTTAATTTTGATAATCTCGAATGAAATTTTTTAGCCCAGTCTCCAAGGATCGCCTGTTCTTGAACTAAGATTTCGGAAGAAGATAGAAAAGTGAAAAAAAAAAAAATGGAATAGAGCCGAAGTGAAAATTGTTTCACCGCAATTGACGATAATTTCGCAATCTGATTGAACAATTTGCCGTAGTCGATAATAATACAGAAAACGCTGCTCGCCTCATTGGTCTTGACGATTATTTTGTACATTTCTTCTAAAGGTTCTCGCGCACAGGAATGTACTTCTATGCTGGAAGCGGATCTGTCACTATGAAAGGCATTGTCAAAGTTCTGTCACTCAGAACTCAGAGCGGACCAATACAATTTGTAGTTGATGGTAAGAAGAATTCTTCCTTACAAATGAAGCAGAAATGTAATCTGTATTTTAGTTCAATGCGATCCTCTCAGTATAGAGTATGGCATGTTTAAATAATCTGAGAAAAAGCTAAATATCTCTGTCTATTCATTGTCTCTTTCCTCTTTACTTCACATAAATAATGATGGAAGTACAAAACACGATGATTTTTGTTTTTGTTTAGGTTTCGAAGCGGTGTATAACTTAAGCTCATCTCCAGTCCCCTCCACAACATGCGAGTCTGGAAGGACAGATAGTTTTCCTGGGTGCAATTCTTCCCAGGCAGTTAAAAACTCTGGAAGCGATGACTATGAGTTTACTTACTTAGACTGCAGCACACCCAAGGTGTCCGCGGTGACGCCTTCCAATGGCACGAGCGATGCGACAATAACAATAAATGGCCGTGGTTTTAGCGACGAAACGTGCCACAATAAAGTAAAGTTTGGCTCCCATGCCTGTGATGTGATTTCATCTAGCGAGACAGAGATCACTTGCAAACTAAATACAGCAGGTTTTCCCGTTGCTGGTGTACCACGTGACGTATCCGTTAAGGTACTTAACCGCGGCTACGCTTTTGTCCAGGCAGATGTGGGTGAAACAGCCCACTTTGTGTTAAAGCCGACCGTTACAGCCCTGTCACCAAAGACTGGATCTCAAGCAGGAGGAACACGGCTCACTATAAAAGGCGATGGATTTAGTAACGCCAACATTGACAACACTGTTCTCGTAGGCTCTACAGAATGTGATGTTATAACCGCATCATTTGATACAATAGTTTGTACGACCCGTGAAAGTACTGAAGAAGCTCAACTGGTCTCAGTGACAGTCAATACTGAGACAAGTGTGTGCGTTGCCGCTGGCCCTACCGATTGCAAGTACACGTTTGCAGCTGATAGAACACCAGTAGTAACGATGGCGACTCCAGCAATCGTAGACAGACCAAAAACAGAGTTTCGCTTCCAGATGTTACAACCTCCCACTGCAGACGTGACAGTAACAATTGGAAATCAAGATTGTGGCGTGACGGAGGTCATGTCACAGCTAGTTAAATGTGTTCTTCCTGGAATCGTCTTTGGAAGCCATACGGTGACTCTTCATGAATCCGGAAAAGGATTCGCAAAGTTCAATGATGTATCAGACGTTATTGATAGTAAGGCGAGTGTGATAAGTGTTACTCCGACACAAAGTAGCCGAAATGGAGGCCTAACCATCGCGATAGCAGGAAATGGATTTAATCCGACATCAAGCAGAACTAGTGTCACCATTGGAGGAGAAATATGTGAGATAGTCACGGTAACGTATGGAGCAATTAAGTGCGTCACACCACCTCATTCTTTAAGAAGCGCTGTAACACTCCAGGTCACCGTTGAGTCTGAGAGCACCTCAGTGGATTTTCCGTCAACAGAGATTGCATACACTGAGGACGCTACTCCTGTCTTGTCGTCCCTCTCAACACCCACTGGGAAAGGCGGGGATGTCTTGACTATCTACGGGACTGGCCTGGATGCTTCGCCCTCTGATAGTGCGGTCCAAGTTCTCATTGGAGATGAACCATGCGCAGTGTTGAGCTCGGATGAAGGAAAAGTAAAATGTACACTGGTAGCTCACGCTGCTGGCTCTAACGATGTTGACGTGCTGGTTCCAGGAAAAGGAAGAGCTACATCTAGGCTTTCCTTCACGTATGATTTAAAGTTAGAAAGCGTCGTCCCCAACGAAAGCGGCTTCGGAGGTGGACGAATTCTTGTTTTTCAAGGGTATGGCTTTGATTCATCTGCGAAAGTAAGAATCTGTGGAAACGAGTGCATTCTTTCTCCGACCCACAACACGACAACCACGGAACTGGCCTGCGAGGCACCAAGTCATATTTTGGACGACATTGATACAATATGCAACATAAAAATGACTTTGAACGGTTTAAGTTCGAACATTGGCATGGGATTTACTTACAAAGTGGCACAGACCTCCCAAATAGCTTCTGTCACGCCACCCCGTGGAGGAACAGGTGGAGGAACTACGCTTACAATACAAGGCTCGGGATTCAGTGATACCCAAAGCGACAATGTTGTCACCATAGATGGCACTGAATGTGTGGTTACCTTCGCAAATTCGACACTCATCCTATGTACAACTGGACCCCATAGCAGGACCATCGAGACTAAAGTTCGAGTGGAGGTTGGAAACAATGGCAAGGCAATAGATGAAGCAGCATATTTCTTCTACGTCGACGTATGGTCGTCGCCATTTACATGGGGCTACAATAATCCTCCTGAAGCAGGTACCGTATTTTTTACATGAAATTTGATTGGGGCTACGATCAGTGTGGATGTTTTACATTGGTTTGTGGCTTTTTTTAGAAAAAATCAACTTTCATCACTGGCATGGCTTCCTTGACTCAAACCTCAACCCTAAAAAATGCCTGTCCCTAATGTGCGAAATTACGTAGGTTAAGTGAGACCCAAGTTAAAAATGAAATGCTCAGGATTCTGTATGGCGCCAGCATGATTCCTTTTGTAACGGAAAGCCTTCTTCTTTCGGAGATAAGACTTTTCATGTGAGACAAAATAACTGCGTATGAAAATTTCCAAGGGCAGTTGCGATACATCTGACACGTATCTTTAGAGTTTAGGCGGCATTGCCAAATTCTCCTTACGACAAAGATAATTTGGAAGGTTTGGAATTGAGGTAAAATTTATCGTCTTCAATTGCTTAAGCTAGAGAGAAAAATTCTTTAAAAATCAGATCCTTCCATTTTTGGACTCTCTACCTTATTTATGGAACCAGAAAATTAGAAGTCTAATCGTCGGGGTGGTGTAGCGTTAGGCCTTCTTGACATCTCAGATTGCCTCTCAGGATTCATCTAAGCAGTTTAGTTAAGCAGGGGTGAAGAGGATATAATAAAAGAAACTTATGGATGATCGATGATGGATTCCTGGATTACTCATTGCAATTAATAATCCACAGGCACTTTCGTGACCATCAAGAAAGGACAGACGATCCTGCTAGATCAAGACACACCGGCTCTGAAGTTTCTTCTGATACAAGGAGGAACGCTAATATTTGACATGGAAAAGCCTTCTCTTCACTTGCAAGCAGAAAACATTCTTATAACCGATAACGGTTGCCTCCAAGTAGGTACTGAAGATGACCCATTTCCCGGCCAGGCACTTATCACTCTGCACGGCCATGTTCGTTCAAGAGAGATTCCTGTGTTTGGCACCAAGAGCATTGCGCTACGCGAGGGAAAGCTTGATCTTCATGGGCTACATGTCCCAATCACGTGGACACATCTAAGCTCAACGGCGGAGGTTAACGCAACTCAGCTACATCTTGTCAAACAGGTCTCTTGGAAACCAGGTGATCGCATCATTCTGGCACCAACTGGAAAATCGCAGCGAGAGTTTGAAGAGCTTACCATCACAGCCGTTCTCAACGATAATTACACCTTAGAAGTCTCGCCACCGCTGAAGTACAAACAGATTTCTATAATCCAGACGTTCGATGGTATTCATAAAGTGGAGACGCGCGCAGAGGTGGGTTTACTGACGCGAAACGTGAGGGTGCGAGGCTCAGTGCACAGCGCATGGACAGAGAAAATCGAAGCGTGCGAAGACGAGTTTAGACCAGGACAATTTCAGACCCAGACTTGCTTCCAAGGAAAATTTGGCGAAGAAGTTGGAAGCGATGAATTTGGTGTAACCATCATGATTCATGCTCCTGAGGAAAGTAAGAACTTGGTGACAGCAAGGTTTAGTTATGTAGAAATCTCGAATGCAGGACAGGCATTCCGTCTTGGTCGTTATCCGATACATTTTCATCTCAGTGGCGACGTCTCAGGTTCATATGTCCGCGGCTGCGCAATACATCACAGCTTCAACCGTGCTATAACAATGCATGGCATTCATAACCTTCATGTTAGCCATAATGTTGTGTTCAATGTCCGCGGGAATTGCTTCTTCATGGAGGACGGCATAGAAACTGGTAACGTGGTCGAATACAATTTGGGTATATTTGTCATCGCCTCTACATCTGCACTAAATGTCGACATAACTCCAGCAACTTACTGGGTAACAAATGCCAACAACACGGTGCGTCATAATGCAGCCGCAGGAGGAAGCCATTTCGGGTTTTGGTACCAGATGTTTGAGCACCCAGACGGCCCGTCTTTTAGACCGGATTACTGCCCGAGGAATGTCTTCATGCTCGAATTTTTCAACAACTCTGCTCATTCGTTTGGACGCTATGGGTTGTGGATTTTTCCGGTTTATCATCCCATGGAAGGAGGAAGCTGTGGATCAATTATTACTAAGCCTGCTGTGTTTGGCTCTTTTATCGCCTACAACAACATGCGTGGGGCAGAAGCCGTGAAAATAGGAGCAGTTCAAATGCACGACTTTAAAATGCTCGATAATGATATCGCTGGAATTGAATACGTATTTGCCGATACCAAAGATGCTCCGAGGGGGGGTCCTAGAATTAAAAATGCGCTTATCGTTGGTCACAGCCAGGTGAGTGAAGGCCTGGATTTGAAAATACGGAGCAACACACTTTGTACGACCTCCGGCATAAAATTACCACAGTTCTCCAAACTCGTTGTTGAAAACGTCACCTTCGTGAACTTCGACCAAGAAGGCTGTACCTGTTACAGTGCTTGCGCTCAGTGTGTGGAGTTTAAAAAGAAAGGCGGATGGACCACGTACACCATGAAAAATCGTTTTGTGAACTCCCCACGCCGAAGTGCCTTCCTCTGGAGTCATGAGTCGGTCATAGTCGATCTAGATGGCACTCTGACTGGATATCCAAACGGCAGCCTCGTGCCACTAAACGCGAATCTACCACCAGACCATTGTTTCTATTCTCCCCAGGATAGCTACGGTCCTCACAATGGAAGTGTCTGCGACTCAACTGTGAAATTTAGGAGATTTGCTTTTAATGAGGTTGCGCCAGAATCCCTCATAAGCAAAAACGTTTTGTTGGAAAACAGACATGGGATGGACGTGGTGCCTTTCTGCATTAAGTGCTCGACACATCCTCAAGGCTGGGTCACGCTCTTGATACTTGGAGAAGAGTACAACATCACTTTTGAAAATGCTTGGCAGCTAACAAACATCACCTACAGCGGTAAGTTTTACGACATGGAAGAAAATGACCATATCTGGATAAAGCACTGGTTGGTGCAAACGCCTGATCATTTCACCACCACTGGAGCTTATCAAAACAAAACCGACGTCACTCCACCGGCTAACGCTCAACACGGTAACTGGAGTTTCGTAAACGAGACTAAGGAGTTCACATACATTGCCTCCGGCAGGGATGCTCCTCGCACACCAAATAACAACATCGAACCCCGAGATGTCACGCTGCGAGTATATCGTTGCTTTTATGAGAAATGTATTGTTCCGGTACCACCTCCCCCTCCTAAAGGAAGACCTGCAAAAGTCCAGCTTTGGTCCAACGTGGATGACTGGGATGGCACTGAACCTATGTATGGGGGTTATGGACGAAGGTTACCAACCAATGGGAGTGACGTTATGATACAGACTCACTGGTACATGGTGGCAGACATAGAATTGCCATATTTAAACCAACTGTTCATATATGGAACACTTGAGATAGATGACAGACCAGGTATGGTCCTGAATGCTTCTATTATCTTTGTTGCCGGAGGATTGATCGTAGGATGGCCGGATCAGCCTTATCTATCGAATTTTATGATCAGCCTCCAGGGCAACGTGTATAGTGAGGACCTACCTTTGCGGGATGTTAATGTTGGAAGCAAGGCCCTTGGCGTGTTTGGATTCCTGTGGATGCACGGGCGGCCAAGAAAAGTGTATTGGACTCATTTAGCTGTTACTGCTGAAGCTGGAGACCATTCGGTACTACTATCCGAGACCGTTGATTGGAATATTGGCGACGAAATTGTCATTACATCGACTACAGTTGAGCCACAGCAAACAGAAAAGTTCTTTATAACGGCCATTACACAAAACAGGAGAAATTTGACTCTAGACAAAGCTCTTCAGTATAAACATATTGCCGTGACTCACACGGCCGGTAATTGGACTTATACTTTGGCGGCAGAAGTGGGACTGTTAACCAGAAATATCTTGGTGGAGGGAGCAGACTACCCAACTGGAGCTTGGGACCAATCTTTTGGATGCAGAGTTCTGATTGGCCGAACGTCAATTGAGGGAATTGAATTTAAGGGCAGTGCCAGGATTGAAAATGTCGAGTTCAACCGCTGTGGACAGGAGGGCTGGATTGATGATTACGATCCTAGGTAGAAAATCAGTTTTTTTCTCTCAATGGACAGTAATGTCACAATCTGATTGGTTAGTTTGCCAATGTCGATAAGAGTACAGACAACGCTGCTCGCGTCAACATGTTACGCAATGCTTTAATCACTGAAAGAATTGCTTTATATAATGTCCATATTGCGGTCAAAAAAAACAAACAAACAAAAAACAAACTGCGTGGCCTGTATTCTTATCGACAACGATATTCGTCATCGCAATGGTCAAAATTTTGTGGACTCACGCTAAACCTCTGTCAATTTGTTAAAAAGCTTTAAACTATCTATAATGTAGATAAGTGAGATTTATACATTTGCGTCTTTTGCGTAACCCCAGAATTTAGAAAAGAGAGTAGAAAAAGGAGAGGGGAAAATTAGAAAGAACAGTTCATGGAGGGTAACTTAATATGAAAGAGAAGCAGAGAGGAAAAAAAGAACATAACAAAACAAAACAAGAAAGTTGTTATCCTTTTCCTTATCCCCTTAAAGTTCCTTTTTCAGAAGGAATGATATAGGGGCATGTTATTCAAGGCCTAATTGAATACATTTCCAATGCAAAGTAAAATGTACGAAGAAAACTATGGTCTTCAATAGGTTCAAACTTAATACAACAGTCCACGAGAGAAAAGCACGTAAACCCGTGATAGTTACCCCCCCCGGTTTTTAATCGATCACCTCCTTTCTTTGAAATTGCGAGTGTGTTCTACTTGTAAGTCAGAACCTCACAGGTTACAAATCATTCCTCTGTTTTAGATTTGCTTTAGCGTTCCTCGATACCGGTGACGTGGAAGGAAATACTTCATATGTCCGTGGGAATTCATTCCACGACGGTTTCAACACTGGTATTGGTGTGCTCGGAACGAATAACTTGAACATTGAGGACAATATTGTCCACCACACAGTGGGCCCTTCAATAAGAGTCACTGGCAGCTTTGTTAGTTTATTACGAAATCTGGCAGTTTATTCTATCTCAATACATACATACAACGGACGAAAGGATAAATCAAATCTGCACTGGCCAGGAGCAATAGAAGTGTACGAAGCCAAGGAAGTTATCTTGATTAACAACACAGTGGCTGGGAGTGAACGTTTTGGGTTTAAAATTGGTGGCGAGAAGTGTTCAGACGGCCCAGGGGTATCTGTTGGGAACGAAGTTCACGGTGCTTGGCATGGAATGCATTTTCCTTACAAAGGAGGAATTCCAGGGTGTTCCATGCTTTCTGGTTACCTGACTTGGAGAAACTACGACTATGGTATCTTCCTTTACGGCGAGCCCAGTGTTATAATAGATAACGTCATATCCGTGGAGAATACAGTTGGTATGTTACCGAATGTGTGGGGTCCGCATGCCCTGTCGCATCAGACTGCTGACAAATACGTTATTGTGAGGAACACGCTCATCGTGGGCACGAGTCCTGGTTACGACTGTGAGCATGATAGCATCTTACCATACGCCAGGCAACCATATAACTCGATTAAAATTCAAAAGACACCGGAAGGTATGTGTGGCTTACTTAAATACAATGCTTATACCTTGCATCTACCTTGAAACTCCATCGTTCTTGAAATAATCCTAAAACTTTTCATTGAAGTTGTTTCCTAACTTCACCTATTATAACTTCAAATGGCAAACACTAAGGGTCAAGTGTCAGGACCCAGTTTCACATTCCTTTTCTAAAAACGTATCATGACACGTACTATTTGACGTAGCTGAAGGTAATAAAGAGTATGACTTCGTGACTGCTCATTCAAGCCCTTGGGCAGCACAAAAATATTGGATCATTTATGTCGCGTTTACATCCGGCCGGTAGATGTCACACGTTGAGAAATGTATAGAGGAACTTAGAACCTTCACATTCATTAACAACGCTGTTATTTTATTTCCTGTCAGACGGTAAAATTGGAATAACTATATCGCAATTTAGCTCACTCCCTGCACCTGGGCCGATTATGACGTGGGAGAGCCCTCATGATTATTCAGCAATTAATGGCTACACTCTTTATCACGAGGTGACCTTCTTTGGTTTTCAAGAGACTTGTGGGAAGAGACATCACGCTATCATGTCTAACGAGTGGATTGGCGACATTATACATCCCATGGATGTGCGAGGTTTGTCTCGTTCAATGCATAATTTTCCAAAAAGCGACGAATGCGTCTCGATCTCACTCACTTGGTATGAATATATTAGTAGACTACGAATGAATGAGGAAAAATTGGGGAATAGTAGGATTGCTGAAAAGATGTTTCATTACAACAGGCTATATTTAAATTACAATTACCTTCACCTACACCTGCTTACATGTGGCTAACGCTTCAAGACTTACGGTAGGGGTTAAAAGAAAAGGGAGTGAAACATTCAAAGCGTAGAGTTAGAACAGCCACGTAACAGGTTACACATCACAAAGTAGTTTTCCCAACCTATTTAAATCTGTCAGTTAAGATCATTAACCATCCATTTTCCATTTCAGTTGTTCTTGCCTCCCTACTGCCACGTTGGTATCCTTGCAAACTCTTGTTTTGGAATTTCCTCCTCACTGAAAGACACTTCATTTCTTCGAAAAGTCTTGTTCTGAGCTACACCATCATATCACATCGTTGTGTCAAAGGTTCAACTTATTGACAACTGATTTCTTTATCTTCTAGGATTACATTTTGTATCAGTTGACGAAGAATCTAAGCTGCTCTTGAACGTGCCAACACCTCAGTGGGTCAACCCATCCGACTGCGTGGATATGGACTGCGACGCCAGGAGGCAAATCCTTATCCGAGATCTCGATGGTTCTTTGACAGGCGCTGTTGGGGGCTCGGTGCTCGCAAAGGCCGAGTTCGAGTGGGGCGGAGACAAGCGATACGGATTGGGTATGTCACAAATATACCACTTGCTTTTTGGGGGCAGAAAGCTAATTATGCACGTCGACATTAAATACATTTGGCTCTCGTCGCCAGTTCATGGCGGCTTTGTTTTGTATTAATTACGAGTTTCACATATCGTACAGGTGATTACCGCGTTCCGAAACCTGCCACGACGTTACCCGATGGTACTAGACTTGACATGTCGGTCGTTGCTCCAGAGAAGGGAATTGTTCGCGGCACACCTGGTCATAGCATGTGCTCGTGGTATGGTAACTGGAATGCGTACAAGTGTAACGACATTGATTACAGGATGTTAGTTATTGAGAGTTTAGATGCTGACACTGAGACCAGACGATTGTCACCAGTTGCTCTGATTGCAAATGGTTATGTCAATCTTCTTAATGGGCCCATGGACCACGGTTGGTGCCTGGGATACACGTGCCAAGAAAGGATTTCAACATTTTACGGGATAGTGGCGACTGGAACAAACTACTCTCTTTATTTTACCAGTAATGAGCCCCAAAAACTCAGGCTTCATATGTTAAACAGTGATCCCACAGATGCGGTCCGTGTTGGTATATTCTATCAAAGACCTCAGAGGCAGGATGTGTACAGAGAAGGTATAATCGGTCGACATTTATTCCATTTACTGGAATATAAGCCCAAACACGGCATTTTCGTACATAAAATTTCGCTTGAAAAACGAGAAAAAAAAACCGAATGTCAACACTTTTTTTGGTTCTTAACTTATGATCGCTCGAACCTCTCCCAAGTAAGAACAAGTTTATCTGCTATTTGCGTGATTTTGATTGACAGTGTTTAGCGATTTGTATCGTCGTAATAGATCTGTTTGCAGTCTTGTGTGTCTGCCAGTCTCTTTGTGCCTATTTGAGGAACGAACAAACGATCAAAAGTACGACGGGACGAATTTAAAAAACGGGCGCACGAACAAACACAACGATTGTAGGTGAGAAGAAAGCCAGACAGACTAGCAGAGGAAAGAAAGAAAGCTCACACTTACAGGAAAACGTTAACCCCTTGAGTGTTGGTGTTTATTTGAGTTTACTTTACCCTCTAGGAATATTTATAAATCCAACAAACGCAAGGCTCCAAGGATCAGAATTCACTTTAATTGACAAGCCCGCGGGTGCTCCTGACGACTACTTTGAACCACCGCTGACCAGTGTTAGTGGTGCTAATTATTTCGATCGTGAACGTGCAACTTTATTTGTCGTTTTGCGCGGTTCCAACCCGGTGGACATCATAGTCATGCGTGTCGTTAAGGTAACAAATATAATACCCTGAGAGAGTTCATTTTCGTCAGCGTAGTCATAAAAAATCACGCTGAATTGGTCGAAAATGCTTACACCACAAAGTAAAACGTTTTTCGAAGGCTGAAATGTTATTACAAGAGTGCCACAGTGGCAGTGTGAAACCATTTTTTAACGTCATAGTATGATAGTTCCATGGCCTAAAATGTAGTTGATGTGATCCGCAGGCAGTTTTCAACAGGAACTTTACACTAAAATCAAACCAAATGAATAGGAGATGGTATCGCTAGAAAGTCTAGTACCCTACTGTGAAGGCATCATCGTTTAGGGTGTTCGTGGTCGCAGATGAATTCCAACTAAACCGTTTGATTAGCACGCAACGACTTTCATTCTCTAACTGTCGGAGAAGATTTGAACGTACTTTTTCACAATTACCCTATATCATGTAGCAAACAGGTTATAAATACAAATACATTTTTCATGCTGTAGGGCTTTACATTAAACAGCACCAAACTCCTTAAAGTAATTTTTGAGAACATGTCTCACACCTCGAGTCACGAGTTACCAATCAGAGCTCAGGAGTCAAAAGTTTGACTCGCTTATAACAGTGTTTGAAACTTTTTTTAACCTCAAATTTCCATTTATAGGTACAAATTGGAATGAAGGCTGTTTCCATTGATGACTTTTTCAAAGTGAACCTTGTGAATAACCTGGCTGACCTGCTGGGTATCGACAAATCCCTTATCCGAGTGGTGAACATTGTTAGTGCCGACGGTAGCGGTCGGAGACGGCGTCGATCCGCTGGTGACGTTTCCGTGGAAATTGAGATTGCTGATCCTCCTCAGGCTTCAAATACTTCATCGAACTACACAGGTATGGAAATATTTTCATCAGGTATGGAAATATTTTCATCAGTACCATCAGTACCCTCAGTACCCTCTTTTATCTTCTGCAAACCTTTTCTTAGTAGTTATCATCTGTTTTTGCTCAGGGTAGTACCCGGCCGTACCCTAGAAATGTCATGTGATGTTGTGAGATTACCTGTTTTGGATCTATGAAACTGAAGCTAACGTGAAGATGAAAGGGAGAGGCTTTGGTCGCCACAAAAGGTTTATCTTCTCGGATAGGGACGAATAAATGGAGGTCCCCTCTCCTGCAGGGTTAGGGGTAGGAGACGTTAATTTCCCACGCACGAGATTACTGTGTGATGGATGTCCTCCCCTAGGGTTGGGTGGGTGGGTTGTTGTCTTGCGTTTCATACATGAGCCTTTGGCTCGGACAATATGGGTAACCATGTCCCACGTAAAAACATTAAACTTTGATTACTGATTACTGATTTTCGTTCCAGAAAATCCTGTATTATCTTTCTGGCATGTCATTCAAAAGACAAGAGCTTTGCCTTAACTCATGCTACGAATAGACTATGCATTGCTGCATTCCTTTTAACTCGAGATCTTACCTATGCATCTTCAAATCACCAAGGGGGTCAATCGTAAAAGCCTTATTCCTCTTATTAAGACTCCTGTGTTTGACACGGTGTGGGTCCCAGTGAAAGTCTTATTTATTATCCATTCAGACTGAAACCGACTAGTACTTTGTTATATATAATGTTTTGCATAATCACTCTTGCAGGAGTTAACAAGACTACCTCCTATGATGAGCTTAAAGAGATTGGAGACTCAGTAGTGGAGAATGTGCAGACAGGGCAACTTGCGCAGCAACTCAACACTGAAATCGTATCGCTGTCCATAGCGGACCCAATCCCTGAGCCTGTTGACCCGACCGGAGGTGTTCGAGCTACCAACGAAACTTGTAAGTCTTCTTTATTGCCTGTTATTAACACATCTTTTTCGGAAGCCAATATATAACATAACCAAAGTAAGGCGCGCGCTCTGATTGGTCAATTTAGCGTCCCCCATTTACCCATGGGTGTACGCTGCTGACGTGAGCAAATGCAAAGACTATTTTTCCGCGCGCGCTTGTTTTTTATGGTCACGTAAGATTTTTTAAATAAAAGGGAACTCTTTTGCTACAATGTATCAATGTTATGTTATAAAACAAAGGTAAACACCACAGCGTACACCATTGAGTTATGGATGCACTTGGGAGGTTTGCTAAGCAATCAAGAAGCTAGAGTCGCTTTCGTGCTTAGCAACCTCACGCGTGCATCCATAACTCAATAGTGTACGCTGTGGTGTTTACTATTTGTTAATTTTATGGTATCACATTTCGGTGTCACCTGGGTTGCACTCTGACGCAGCTAAATGAAAGGTTTCTTAGATTCTAACATCTCCAGTAACGAAATTTTTCTGGAGCATTTCAGTTAATTCTGAAAAATTAGTCTCGTCCAAAACTGTCCAACAGTGGCCTCATCACAACTTCTTCAATTTAAAGTTACAAGCTTATCTAGACGAGTATGACACGGGCCAGTTACGTCAATAAATAATGTGTTTGTCTTTCAGATCAACAGAACGTAACAGGCAACTCTACCCTTCGGTATGACGAAGTCCAAGCTGAGAAGGAGGCAGAAGAAGCAAGTAACGTGTTCAGCTTCCTTATTCCCTCTAGATTGGAGGTGGTGACTGAGCCGAGTGGCGGGAACGAGACTGTACCGTTCACTGCACAGCCCAAACTCAAACTTGTGGACGTTGATGGCAAGTTAGTAACTACCTTAGGGCACGGTTCGCTTAGTAAGTGGACTGTCATGGCAACCATACAGAATGACACCGGGGACTCCATGGCGGTGTTAGAAGGAAATGTGACTGTGACACTGGTTAATGGATGGGCGAATTTCACCGATTTAAGTATCACTCACAACGGTTCTGACTACAAATTATTCTTCTATGTCAACAAACCAGCAGCTTCTCGCTTTAACGCTACTTCGCAGTCATTTGAGGTCAAAGAAAGAATCATGTATTTTACTGTAACCACCCAACCCGAAGACGCGAACGAAACAGTCAGTTTTGGACAGCAGCCCAGAATTGAGGTTCGAGATTCAGCGAACGGTAAAATTGTGGACAACACTGGCTGGAAAGGACGTCGTTGGTTGTTCACTGCCTCACTGGCTAATCCTGCGGATAACAATGGACATGTAAATGGTACAGCTGAAGTAGACTTTGTCGAAGGTGTAGCCTCGTTTTCAAACCTCAGCATCGACATCTCTGGAATAAACTACATCCTAGCACTTGAGGTCAAGACTGATCCGGCCTCAAGCTATGCCTTTATTGGCAATTCCACGGCATTTAATGTATCTGAGAGAATGCTTTATCTCAAAATTGCGCAACAACCTGGTGATTGTAATGACACAGTGATCTGTGGCAGTCAGCCGATTGTAGAGATAAGGAATGCATATCCAGACTCGCTGGTAGATAACATCGGTTGGAGAGGGAGAACTTGGTCGATAAATGCCACAATGGTCGGTGCTAAGAACTCTGTAGTCAACGGTACTACTTTATTTCCAGTTGAAACCAATGGGCGCGTGGAATTTCAAGATTTGCGTTTCTTCGACGTGGCTCAAGAGCGTCAAATGAAGTTCACCGTTATCACAGAACCAGTCTCTTCCTATTCAAGTCTATCCGTAACCTCAGAGACTTTCAACATAAGTGCGCGAGAATTCTACCTAGAAGTCATTACACAGCCCGACAAAGCTAATCAATCAGAAATATTTGGAGTTCCCCCAGTTGTGGAAGTAAGAGACCTTGGTACGCGCATGCGTGGAAACCCACTGAAAGGTTACTGGTCTATTTCTGCTTCGCTCAAACCATCTGATTTAAATGGAACATTAAGTGGAGTGTTAAATGTTACAGTGGAGGAAGAGAGAGTGGAGTTTAAGAACCTGTCTGTTTCTTTCTATGGCATTGGATATGAGCTGGTATTCGAGTCCAACCAAGGCCACGTGGTATGTAGTAGTATGCTTGTGAATTTATAATGTACGGGTCACTAACAACTCGAGAAAAATAAATAACAAGATTTCCCAGAGACTCAAGGTAACAACTGAAAAATGATTGCCAAAAAAAATGAGAGCATCAATGACAACGAACAATTGCTTCCTCACAGGCAATAGTTATCACTGAAAGGAACTGTAATATGAACCATTAGTCTGAGAGTGGCAATGAAATTAAACGTATTTCAATCATCTAGGTTTGGCTATAGTTTGTTAGGCGAGGTAAAGACAGGTAATTTAAGATTTTCCTGTTTACATCCATGTCAACATATTAAAAAACAATTTGATTATATCAACAAAGTTGAAATGGTAAATTGGCCACCGTTACGATTATAAAAGCTGACGTTTCGAGCGTTAGCCCTTCGTCGGAGCGAATAGAGGAATTGTGGGTTTTGTGTGCTTTTAAAGGCAGAAAATGGAGCTACTTTATTGGCGGGAACATGGCAACGAGAAAAATACGAATAAATTAGTGGAATGAAAAGCGTTCGTTGATACCTGTGGGATTTAGACTGCCGGTTTGAAAGATGAGCTTTTGTTCAAGAGTTTTACGGCTTTCCGTGCTACCTAAGTGTAAGGAAAGACCGCAGATTGCTATATGTTGCTTAGAATGATTAGGTAAATTGAAATGTCAAGCGACTGGCTTCGATATGTTCTTGTCATTCCTCTCCTCGTCGCGAAGGTGTTCTCGGAATCGGTCACCTAGTCTTCTGCCTGTTTCGCCGATGTAAATATTTTTGCAATAAGTGCAAGTTATGCCATAGATTACATTGGCAGAGGGGCACGTGAAGTGATCGGTGATCTTAATGGATCGTTTGGGTCCCGATATTTTCTCAGTGTTATGAAAAAACATTCGAGCGTTTTTCTGTCTTGGAGAACTTGATTGTCAATATCTGTTAGTGAATTTATCGGCTTTAATTCATGATTGAAGGAATATAAATTTGAAACTAGTTGCTCGCGCAACTAATTAATTTAAATTTACATGCTTGTTTGGTTATCCAGGTTAACTCCCAGCCCTTCGAAGTTCGTTATGTCAACGACTACTCACCCATATTTGACCCTGATAATGGTTCCTACAGCGCATCTATCTCGGAGGACACTTCCAATGGCACGACCGTCATCACGGTTACCGCAACTGATCAAGATTCTGGTTCTCAAGGAGATATTTCATTCTCTATAGTTGCTGGGAACACTGGGAACAAATTTTCTATCGACAGCTCGACTGGAGTTATCACAACCATCGAAGAGCTTGACCGTGAGACGACCGCCGTTTTTACGCTCACCGTGCGAGCATCCGACGGTGCCGTTGCTGAAAAGGTGCGCTTCACAGACGGACAGGTAGTAGTTACTATCTCTGATATTAATGACAATGCTCCTTCATTTAACAACCCATCAATTGCCACTACTGTCAAGGAGGATGCAGCTACCGGTGACGTCGTGATCGCACTCAATGCTCACGATCCTGATGAAGGCTTAAACAGCAAAGTCCTTTATTTTATAATAGCAGGGAACGAAGCTGGAATTTTCACCATTAACAGCACTTCAGGGGAGGTGCAAGTAAATGCTTCGGTCGACTTGGATGAAGAACCGACACCTGATTTCAATCATTCTTTATTTGTCCTTGCTAAAGACATGGGAACGCCAAGTATGAACACAAGTGTTACAGTCAATATCAGCATCGCGCCTGTCAATGAGTTCACACCGCAGCTTCAACATAATTCCTCGTTTAACTTCAGTTTTGCTGAGAATGAGCCTGCTGGGGATGGAGTTTTTGTGTTTGATGTCAACGCTACAGACCAGGACTATGGGGAGCAGGGACGGGTTACTTTCGTCATTAGCTCAGGTGGGTACGAGTGAAACAATTCAGCTTATGTCTTTTTTTTCTCTTTGAACATCTTTTCTTGCTCAGTGCCTTTGACCTTTTCAAGCCGGTAACGGATGGGTTGGTTCTGCAACTCTGTTTATCATTAGCAGGGAATATTTTCCCACGTGATATGTAGTCTGTGTTCGACTTTTCTTTACGTTGAAAAGCTCTGACCTGAGACACTTGAAATCTTCAAAATGTTTGGCTTAAAAATGTATAATTCTCTCAAGTTTTTACCCTCAATCAACAAAAATATCTAGGCAAGCTCCAGTCAAGGATTAACGTGGTTTTGTTACCTTACATGCTATTTTCCATCATCTATCACTCGGGAAATTGTAAATTCCGTCCCCTTTCAGTTTCAATCACCCAAAATATGACAAAGGAACGAACAACAAAGATCTATGTTAAAATTTTCCGTATTAATCTTACTATTTTTACGAGTAGCAAGTCCATTTGATGGTAACATTTGTACTTGTAGGTAACGACGAAGGGAAGTTTTCCCTTAATGCATCAACTGGAAAACTGATGCTTATATCTTCACTCGATTACGAAACCTCCCCATCTTACACTCTGACAATCCACACGCGTGACTCGGACCATGAGGGAAACGTGAAGTTTGCGGTATTTACCGTGTACGTGAGCGTGTTGGACTTGAACGATAACGCACCCACATTTTCTCAGCCTCGGTATGAAGTGAATGTTGATGAAGACACAGCTGTTGGATCAGATGTATTTACATTCCTTGCTTCGGATCCCGATGGTGGTTTGAATGGTCTCGTGTCGTATTCAATCTTGGTCAGGAATTCAACTGAGTTTAGCGATGGGTTATGGAGTATAAACTCTTCCAACGGAAAGCTCACGTTAAACGGTAAGAAAATGGCTTCTTTCCTGCAGCTTTTGGCTTGCATTGTAATATCAATTTCTTGTCGGTTCGGCCCTTTTCTTTAATAACCAATTCCTCTCCAAAGAATCCCCCGGGGTTAAATATTCCCCTTTATCGAGGGACAGTCCTAATAGTTTTGTTGCTCTTGCGCTGAAGATTTTGTAATGAAACTTTTTTTTAATACAGCGCGTGATGTCGCAAAAATTGGTAGCCTTAATCTGTTTATAGTTACAGACATTTTTTTACGGGAGGAATATCAAATGAACCAAAAATGTAAATGTTGGATATACATCTAGCATTGAATGTTACAATAGCTTTAATGAACCCTTATTACCGTTTGTTTCCAATAAATACCTACCTAGTTGGTAATTTGGTCTTCTTCATGGCCGTTTCTGATTTTAATGTTTTCGACCCTTAAGCCTCACTCGACATGGATAACAGGAAGCTTTCAACGTGGACGCACACTCTGGTTGTGGGAGCGCAGGATGCTGGGACACCGTTGCTTTCCTCAAACACTACACTCATCATGCACGTGATTCGCAAGAACGAATTCGCACCAAGTTTTGCATCCTCTGATGTGTCAGTCATAGTTAATGAGGACATTGTAGAGGGAAGCGTTATTTACAATGCAAATGCTACCGATGCGGATTTTGGCATAGACGGAGAGATAGTATACAGTATTACAGACGGGAACAACGATCTAAGGTTCATGATAGATTCTGCAAATGGTATTATAACCAACGATGCTGCCTTAGACCGAGAAGTTCAGCGTACATATAGTCTTATTGTCACAGCGACAGACCAAGCAACCAGCAACCGCAAATCTGGAACGACCACCATTCATATTAGTCTGAAGGATGTTAATGACAATATCCCTACCTTCTTTAAAAACTTTTACTCTAAACTTGTCGACGAGACTGTTACCGCTGGAGGGGAAATCATCACTTTGGAGGCAAATGATCCTGATTCAGGATCCAATAGTGAGCTCACCTATTCTATTGCGAGCGGCAACGACCTAGGATTTTTCAGCATCGAGTCCAAGCAAGGCATCATCCGAGCAGCCAAGGACCTAGATATAGAGACTCAAAACCATACCGCTGACCGTACATACCAACTGGTTGTATTTGTTAAGGACGCAGGAACACCTGTCCCGCTTAACAGCTCTGTACCTTTGGTCATCACTGTACAGAACGTTAATGACTTCACACCAGTCCTGGATCATGCTGATAACCAAATAATAGAACTAAGAGAAAACACCAGCATAGCAACAGTTATCTTTGATGTGAATGCAACTGATGGGGATTACGGTGAAGATGGTGTTCTGTCTTACTCCTTAACTGCTGGTAACAGTTTGGGAACATTCGATATTGACAACGTCACGGGTAAGTCAGAGTAACAGTAGGTAAAATACCAATGAAATTACCTCTCGTTCCTTTCCCTCATTGAACATGCGCGAGCTACTCATTTCAATCTCGCAATAAAGGGAAGAGACTTTTTCTATGCGATCTCCTCTTTTCATTAAAGGCCATTTCCTTCAACTTAGTTTTTAGTGTGGCATAGTTTTCCTGTCTGTTATAAGTTGTCTGGTCTTTGTTGTTCGCAATTTTTTGTCAGAGGTTAAGTTTTTAAAATCCTTCTTTGCAAATCTTTAACAGGTGTCATAACATTAGCAAAGGAGTTGGATTTTGAAACAGTTGGTGAGCACAATTTGGAAGTCACTGTGAGTGACAGAAGTGTGGACCCTAGCAAAAGGAAGAAAATCACAGCTCATCTTAGGGTACGGGTCATAAACATCGATGACAGCGGGATGTACACAGCTAAAGCTCGACTCATACAGGCATTTATCGCCTCTCCAATGAATCCAGCTGGTTTGGCTGGCGTTCCCCATAAATCTTTTTTGGAGGTGCTTTTGGTGTATGAGAATGGAACGGAGATGGATATCACTTCAGAAGGGGACCGTTATACAATTGACGACTCTTCGAAATCTAATGGTCTCTTCAGTGCTACTTCTAATGGCGCACCTTACATCGAAGCAAACAACCAAGGATTGTTCGGAACAGGCAAACTAATCGTACATGTCACGAATGTCAATTCTGTTGAAGTCAACGTTACTGTGGTGGGCAGTACTAACCTTGCTATCAGCGCTGTGCCTTATCCTGAAACTTCCGGCGCATCGAAGGTTACAGAACTAAAACAGGTTATCCAAGGACATTACCAGCGGGTGTTACTCAAAGTTCTTCTCGGCCTGACAAATGAACAAGTCGTTGATGTTTCCAATAAGCATAACACTTCTTTTACGTTTAAAAACGCTCAGCAGATAGGAGGTAGTTATGAATTTGGACCCTCTCCAAGCAATCTTTTTTCGATCGAAGGAAGTGGTTTGAGAGGAGAAGTCTCGTTACAAGCAGAGTTCGCGCGCAGTCATGCAGCAGTTCTTAACTTGTCCTTGTCTTCAATTGTCTCTAAACCTGTAAACATCGTTCGGTTTGGCTTGGAAAATGTCAATATGACTCTCAGTGGCCTGGCTATGGAAAAAACTACCTCGGTGTTTGCTGAAATATTAATGAGCGATGGATCGAGCTATTTCATCAACAACTTCACGAGTTACAGCGGCTTGCTATCGTTTTCTTCAAGCAACCCTGCTTCAGCAAAAATCGATGCATTGTCTGGCGTAGTGACCCTGATGGCAGACAGCAGTAGCCGTGTCACCATTTCGGCCAGCCTCATTGCAAATGCAAGTGTCACAGACGAATTTTCCTTTTACTGCAACGTGGAGCCAAGGGTCGGTGAGATTGATATCGGAGAGAAGGAGGGTCCGCCCATACCGTCGCTTGATAAAGACGATACATGGAAAATGCCCATCAGGGTAAACCCTGGCTCCATGGGAATCTTGGCAGTACAGGTAGAGATTCAGTATGACTTGGATGACTTACAGTTAGACAGAGCTACTACTGTTTTACCGTATAAAGTGGCGGGAAACACAGTTATCATATTTGGACCAATAGCAGCATCAGAAGCCTTCTCGGAAAGTGTTGGCGAGCTTTCATTCACGTCAAAGAAAAATGGAGTCCCTGGGGTCATGGTTGAAGTTTTCAGAACGGTAAATAGAGAACTTTCAGAGGTGCCAAGTAAGAACGTCACAGTTTCTCCATGTTCCAAGGAAATATCGGGTGACGTAGATGTAGACTGTAGGTTCGACATTGTTGATGTCGCTTTCATCAGTGGTTACATCACTGCCTCTTCTAAATCTCGATTCACTGACGAGATGAAGAAACGAATGGATGTTAACTGGGACGAGGTCATTGACGTTAACGATGCCTTTTTCTTGTCGCTTATTTACCTGGAAAGCGCAAAATTTGTGACTGAGCTGACATATCAAGTACCTGATCACAACAAGGAGTCTTCTGATCGGTGTGGCCTAGAACTCTCTCTGAAGCTAGCTAACAAGGATGGATCACCAGCTGTAAACCCCCAAACAGAAGTATACTTTATCTTCTCGCATCAGGGTGCAGACGTAGGTGCACAACTTGCACGAACAACGTTTTCCACAGGAACTCCACAATCTATAGACGGTGCTTCATTCGTAGATGGCTTAATAAAAGCTAGTTTTGCCAACGAGAAGTTCATTATTGCAACTGCAAACTCCGAGCTGCAAGCTACCGACGTGGGTGTGACTGTCCTGCAAGAGTTACCTATCGATGGAACGAGACATGTTGTCGCGATGTTCCCCTCCTCGAATCCTGTCTCCAATTTGGATGCCATCACCTGGACTAAAAATCAGGCGAGCTTTACACCACAGCGTACATTGCAACTTTCCGAGTCAACCGCAACTTGCAATGAAAACGATGACGATCCGCTCGTTACGATACCTGTGGAATTTACCTTCGAAGGTGATTACGATCAGGTAATCAAAGGCAAAGAAGAGCAGTTTCAAAGTTACTGCGAGAACCAACTATCTAAGATCTACCCTGATGCGACTTTCTCTGACTGTCGCGTACGAAAGGGTAGCATCGTAGCCACATTCAACATGACTTTGCGCCAATCAAAGAAACAAGCAATGGTAGACAACCTTTGGGACGACGTGAAAGAGGGGCTGAAATTCGAGTTTAATGGCGCAACACTTACAACGCGACCGATCATGAGGGTGGATGGTGAGGAAAAGAAAGTAGTGGATGCTCCTAAAGACGAAGAGGGCATGGCGCTTTACATCATCATTATTGCGTGTGTTGTAGGATTTTCAGTCATTTTTCTAGTTGTCATTGTAATTTACTGTCGGTGCCGGAGAAGCAAAGTGAGAAAAATCAATCCAACGCCGCCAGAAACTCCGGACATATTCATTGACAGTGAAAAATACTCTAAAGGTTTTGGTGTAGAAACAAAGTATCATAAACCTAGTAGAAGTGCAACCTGGTCTGTGCACAGCTCTGTAGAGTCGATGCGAAGCGATGATCAAATAAAACGTACAACTCCAGTTGCTTTTGCAGAAACTGTGGAACCAGCTTTTGAAGAGATAGAAGAACCTTTGCCAAGTTCTAAGGTGAGATGTTCTAATGAAATTTAAAAAAAAGAATGCTGGTTTGACCAACGTAACTGACCGTGAATCTAGAGGTTTGGGTTCGAGTCCTGGTCAGGTCGTTAAGTTGTGTTATTGGGCTGGTGAGAATATAACCTTCCTTCTAGAAGGTTGGGCCTCATATACAATTACTTCGATCCTTTTTGAAAAGAGCACACCGATATTGACATTCTAAGGTAATTTGGCGGCCTTCAGTACCATATTTTGTATAATTTTTCTTCATCTACAACTTTGCATGCTCGTAGCTTTGCACGCTGGTAAGCAACTTTTTAGTTGCTTCGTCTACAACTTTGCATGCTCGTACTGAGTGAACAGTTTGCACAGTGAGAACGCCAGATAATAATGGGTGAGGCCATTCTTGAAATACTGAAAATTATGCCTTATTCTTTAGAGTCCAAAGCTGACATCGCAAGATGACACTGATCGCCCAAAACCAATTCTTGCATTTCCTAACGTCCCGTCCAAACAAGGAACACCCAGAACCACTCCACATATCAGCAGAAAATCTTCACCAGTCCACAGTTCAAAAGGCAGTCTTCGGTCGAGTGAGGGTACGGACACTTCCCCGATTCCTCCCACTTCACCTGAACTTTCGGTATCAACTACAAGCTTTAGGACTGAGATCCAATCCCCTGTCAAATCTGTTTCGGCTTTGGAAGAAACCTTGGTAATAGGGGGAATCTTTGACGATGATGATGATGATGACTTCGATGAAAATCCAAGAGAAGAGGCTATGCTGCGTAGGCGGGCGTCATCTTTGGGGGAAAACATGCCGGGTGTTCTGATGGTCACAGGTGAGAACATGTTATAGGATACCTCTTCTTAATACCAGAGGAGTAAACTTAATCTTTCGCACTATCCACGAGTTAGAGGCGACTGAACATTGACACTTACTTTCGTTTGCTTTTTTAAAATTTTTTATCTCGTTTGCACGCCTTGCGTGCGTTTGAATTTGTCACGTTTGGGTCACGTGATTGGGCGACCTCGTTATAAAAAAAAAATAAAATGATTGTGGTTTACTTTTGCGTCTAAATCCTTTTACACGACAGGCACCATAAAAGTGGTTTTGCGCAATGGGTAAAGCACGTGCAGAACTTCCAATCTGCCCTAGAAAATTAATCTTTATCAGGAGGTTCAATGGAAAATAGCCAAAATACTCTAAGGGCAAAAGGCATCATAGGAAGGGGTAGACACATGTGCGCGACAAAAATTTGCAAACCTGCAGTAGAAAACCACTTGCTCATACCTGAAGAATAAAATTAGTATTTGTTATAGTCCAGATATAAATGGATAATCCCTAAAAAAAACCGTAGGGAAGGAGCACCTTCGGATAGGAATGGTATCATCTGGGGGTGAAACACCACGGGGAGGCAGCAACACTCCTCGTCGTGTTATACTGGGTAAGAAGTATAAGCGTCTTTCTGCGAGTCTGTGTAGGGTGCAGACCCTTCTTTAGTCTCCCTTGTTCTGGATTATCTTTAAATGTCGAGAACTGATGTCATTCCGACGTTTTTCTTCCGTTGGGCTTTATGTAGATCAAATCGTAAAGCGACGCAAAATGCAAGTGAAGGTGATTCGACCAAACGCAGAGATGGGGATCCTAGCGCACATGGCAGGAATAGTGAACGCCAAGAAAGGAGGAACATTAGCAGAATTAAGGGAGGACATCAATCGTTCGCTGCCCGGTTACCTTGGTTCAGTGAGATAATTGTTTATTTCACGAAAGTTTAAAATCATTGACCCTCGAACGGAGACACAATTAGTGGTATCCGCGCTTTATAAGAAGACTGTCTATGTCAAAGTGTTCCACGGTGCAGGTAAAGCTCTCGGATATGTTTTTAAGATGAGAAATGGCCCGAGATGCGTTTATTCATATATTCTCATCAATCTATCAGTTTTTAATTTTCTTCCTACACAAAAATGACGAAAATGTACAGCAACGAAGAAAAAATGATGACTAATAGACTTAAAACCAACACAAAACATTGCAACTCCAGTATTAGTTAGGACTAAAATTGCATTGCAAAATAGTTGTGGGAAGACAAAAATTTACTCATTGGGCTACATAGTGCTTTTTGCGATAGTTAAGCAGTCACCATCAAAGATTCTCTAACAAGGAAAGGTTTGTGAAAATACTAACTAGATCAGGAGTCACGGGGGCGTGGTTAGGTTTGCTTATTCTCCGGATATTTCCTTCGAAAACGGTGAATTGCTCCAAGAGGTTTTAGATCTGCAAACACTGACAGCTATGTAAGTAAGTAAGTAAGTAAGTAAGTAAAGTCTTTATTTAGCGAGGGTAGCACAAAATAGCATCTAAATGCTAATAAACTAGTGCCCCTCATTAATTATGATTTTTTTTTATCTCTTTATGACAGAGAGCTGCGAGTATTTCTGCCTGTGTGGTAAGCCAGCTCAAGTGTGGTGCAAAAAGTGTAACACTCAAGGGTACTGTGGGGATGATTGTATGGAACAGGATGACGAACAGCACTCCTCGATTTGTAGCAAGAGCAAGGCCAGGGCTTTGGAAAATGCAAGGACAAGAAGAGTGTCTAACATTTCAAAGAAATGATGTTGTTTTATTGCGGTGTCTTAAAGTCATGTGACATATCTTACCTTAGGGTCTAAAACGAAGCGAGATCGTTTACAGACGATAAATATGTCACAAGTTGTAGATCGTAAGCACCTTTCCAGAAAGTTTTTGTTGGAAGTATTTGGATTTTTCTAATAATTGATTTCATTCATAATTCTCGCTTTTTAGAGGCATCCCTTGCCCGTAAAATGAAGCTAAGAGAGGATCCTCTTTTGGTGGAGCTTAATATTCAGTGAAACTTTTCAATGGTTTGATTTCTGGTAAATTGTAACCTCTTTTGGTATTTTTTCATGCTCATGCATACATTTCTCAGATATCACAGCTTGATGATTAGAGTTTTTTGTTTTATAATATTCAAACAAGCAAAGGAGCTTTAAGTATTGCTTATACGATATATTTCGAACGCACTCACACTAATGTACTATCGTGCACCTCACTTGAAAGTACGTTTAACCATATTTGGATTGATGTAAATCGTGCAGGACACGTTAAATATACAGCGTACGTGTAGTGTTTTATTTTTAAGAACTATGAGCTGGTTCAACAGTCACATTTTTGGTTTGGATAGGTTTTTCAGAACTGTATACTGAGGAGAATTTTTAAATACATATCTTGATAAATCTTTGCTGTGTTTGTGTATCGCCCTCTGAAACACCTCACTCATGAAAAAGTTACTGAATTGAAGGGTGAAAGAAAAGAAGGTTTCCTACAATCAGCGTCAAAATTAGTTGACACATCATATTTGAAGATTTCTATTTAAGTGTGGATTAACACTCCTGTCTCTACCACACTCTAAATCGCTAATAAGACTCCCCCTCCCCCATTAATCGTTGCATGTGTGTAGCTAGAGGTTCCTGAAATCACGAAACAACATTGCTTTAGGGGAAGGGGGCGAAAAGGTTAACTGGGGGAAGGGGGCGAAAAGGTTAACTGGGGGAAGGGGCGAAAAGGTTAACTTTGAAGGGCAAAAGAAGTAAAATTGAAGCAATAGGGGGTTGAAAAGGTCAATGTGTTAACAAGTTTGTCACCGATTGTAGTGACCAGTCATTATCTTTCGTCTTTGGGAGGGGAAAGGGCGTAGAGGTTTTAAGGGGGGGATCAAATAGTTTTTAGGGGAACAAAGGGAAGATCCTTCGTCGCCAGCAGAGTATAAAGGGAAGAGGGACTATAAAAAATTGATTGCAATGAACTGCCAATGAGGGGGGTCATAAAAATGTTAGATAGTTTTATGGGAGGGAAGATCAGGTAAATTTTAGTGTGACACAACCAAAATCCTTCGACCCCTGCCCTCCCCCCAGTGACAAATAATGACCAGTCACCTATAAAGATCGCAAACAAACCGTAACAAGCAACTGCTAACTGCAAGTAGATTGTACTATATTTATGTTAACCGCACGCGAACTGCATTAAAGAAATTTAAATCCTTGCATGAAATGATTGTTAAAGGGTATCCTACGAGAATTGCCGAACTTTGAATACACGAGTAAGAGACAATTAGGCTCTAATTAATCAATTATTCGGGTAATTTGGAACATTTTCGTAAATGAAGCTGTAATTGGTAAATTGTTCGAGTGGTTGAGGAAATACTGATTAGCTCCAATATTTAATGTTTTGTGTATTGTGACTAAGACCTGAGCTAATTAAGTCCAAAAACTCACTCCAGATAAAAGCTAGATCATCAATTGAACCAAATGAACTAAAATTATGATGTTTGCATTGAAATAGAAAGCGGCCGTTTCACAAAATTTCACGCTAATTGCTCTCGACATGTTTATTTCTTTTAGTTTGTTTTGTTTTTTATTTTACATGTATTGTGTCATTAAGCACGCAATTCACTCCACTCGAGTAAGTTCTAACTGAACGAAGTTTGAAATCTAAGAAAAGTGCTAAAAAATTACTTTCCTAGATAAAAAGCCCTAATCGAATAAACTTCCTGTATTTCAACGAGTACTTTTCGGATGTTTTCACTTTCCGTATTTCATTCACAACTAAAGTTCTTGAGTGATGAAGAACTTTTACAAAGCACTGTATGCGTATCAGACTTAGTCAGCAAAATCCCTTCCGAATTCAACCTAGCCATCGGGTGTCATCCCCGTATTTTCATGGCAGTGAAAACTAGCTTAACAAATTTTGTAACAAACCTGAACCCATCCGACCCTGTTTAAATTTTGATTCTAACTCAAAATTAAGAATAGCTTTTTTCAGTGTCATCCTTGAATACTTCCGATTAGTGACGCATATTTAACCGAGCTTCGTCAAAATTTGTCCATTCTCATGATAACTATCCTGTGTTTTTGCAGTCTGTGCAATCTGAGTTATTTGTCTATCTTAACTCACCATATTCGCCTCTTTTCGATTTACTCTTTCTTTTAAACGCTTTTACATCGAATCAAACGATCATTTCATAGTTTTATTGTATTAAAAGCAATTTTACATCACTCCAACATCGACTCAATATCGTAACTTAAAGTTCTATTTTTGTATTTGGTGCGAAATATATGGAAGTGGATAAACCCCTGGTCTGGTAAGTGCACAATAACTCCGCTAATTTCTTCGAAGTCACTGACAAGGAAACTACATCTTTCATGTACTAAAGTACAGTACAATATAAAGCCAATTTTTGTCTGATAATTTACCCCATTGTCCAAAGAAAGAGCACAATCCTATGACTCTATTATCTTTCACTGTGTAAATAACTTATCGCCGGCTGTCGCGTTGAGTTTGTTTTAGATTTAAACTGTGCAATTGGCTGCCAGGTACAAATTTGGAAATCAGCTTTCTATATTTCACCGAAACAAATGTCAACATTGAAACAATTAACAAGCAAAGCGCATAATACAAGAGGCTAAGCTGACAGTAACACTATTGTTGATCTAGGGAATTTACATTTCGTTGTCAATATGACACGCTTGGCTTTCAGTGGAAAGAGACACATCTTGATGCAAGCCTCCACACAATAGGGAGGTAATACGGGTGTGCGAACACAAAAGACGGTTTTCAATTTGGCGTTAGTCGTAATGAGAAAATAGCCCATCGAGTTTATCGTTACAGAAAGAACATGAACAAACAGATAGGGTCCGTTGAATCGCGACGGGAGATAGTGGTTTAGTTATGTTGCCGGAAATGTAAGACTTACACAATCTTTTACGCGTTTTTTCGAAGACATGCCACACACTAGTCTGTTTACCCAAGTTGATCCAGTTTTGGAATTACGGAGATATAACATGGCACCTTCAATTACACGTGGAAAAGGTACAAATCGCATTAAAAGTGCCAAAAATGAATCAATTATGACAGGGATTGGAAAAGAAAGACTTAAGTCGAGGGAGAGAAGTACAACTCTTGCTACCGTATCTTCAATTGCGGGTTACCATGTTACAAAACAATGGAGTCGCGAGGGATCGAGTTTAATCGGACAATATTCTTCTAAGAAAGTAAATTTCTCCTCGAAGCCATTACAGTTATCTCGCTCAAATGCAAAACCAGGTAACAGTTCGTCAAAGCCACGAGGAAAAGTTGGCGACATTTCTTCGAAAAATAAACTGCAAGCCGATCGTTCAGGGCGAGCGACAGAAATGATAAAAGGCAAGCTGCCTACGACTGAAAAAAGACGAGCAAGTGAAACGCCAGCATTGTTGATGGTTACATCAAGAAAAAGGTCGCTCTCTGTTCCTCCAGATGGTAAAGAACATTTCTCCATTACAACAATTGTGAAAGCAAGAAGCTTGGCAATGAAATGGCGAGGTCGCCAAAGAAAGCAAGGTCGAAAGCAAACCATTTTGCCCACCATAACTGATGATAGATCAAAATTTTCGCTTTGTGCCAATGTAAAATGCAGCCCTCAGTTCGAGGAGGTGATCAAACTTTTAGAAGGCGATCAAGGTGTGGAAGACGTTGGGATTGACTTGAAATCTCTACAGCTTAAGTGACACTGTTAATTTTATAAAAATCTAAGAGACATTTTTCACGGATTCTACCATCTAGATGTACAACTAGGACGTTATCGACTCCCTTTCGTCGAAAAAGATACTGTGCGTGATATACTTCTGAAACGCGTTGGACAAAAACGAGAGGCGCTAATGTCTTGATGAACTCCATTTCCAACGCAAATTTGTAACAAGAATGCATTTACACGCATTTGCGGATCTCGGAGTAGCGGAACCTCCACTGACGTCGTAGAAGAGTATTTCATGAATCGAAATCCACGTCGCGTGTTGTTCACTGATGCTAACTTTCGGTAGAAGCGCGGTTTACACTTACACACACAAACACACACGTAGCTCCGACAAGAAAATCCTGATGATTTTTGCCTCTTACAGAAAAGATGTTGCATGGTGTGTTTTTAGCCAAAAAAATTTAATATACATTTCCAATTGGTCATCCAGCTAGTGGTAAAATCGGTCTTTAAATATTATTGAAAATTTCTTCAGCTTGTACAAATGTACATTGTAACATATAGTATTAAAAAAAGCTAGCTACTTAAAAAGTTTGGGAAAGGAAACCAAAACTACGGCCCGATTTCATATAATTTTTCAAATGAATCCATTTCAACTGTAAAATTAGCTATTTCGGTTCTCGGAATGGTAAATTTGTTGGCTTGGATGGGAACCAATATATCACTAAACATGATTTTCTTTCCACGTTTAGGTGTCAATTAGCGCATAAAAGCGATGTTAAGGTGGAAATTTGCATCTGAAACAAAGAAAGTAAACAAGAACGCGTAATAGACGAGTGACTGACACAAGAATGAAGCCTAATTTTCTTGGTGATCTGATTAAAATGGAACAACACTCTACAAGAATTGAATTATCTTTTCTGCTGAAGTCGCGCAGCCTTACAGGTTCAACTCTTGCACCTGTGTTGAGTTCAGATTTATTGCTGCCCCCAAGTAATTGGTAATTAGCGACCTCTTTATCATATAAGGGGCAAAATTACTGAATTGTGATTGGTCAAGACAGAGGGCATTTTTTCTTAATTTTTGTAATTGCCCCGGGCAAAATTACTTGAAAATGATCGGCTGAAAATCGCTTAGCAACGGCTGCTAAAGTAAAGAAATTTCTGTTTGTTTTGTAACAATGGCGTCCCGTTTTGCGCGAGATCAGTAAGAAAACATTTTGCCCCTTATATTATAAACAAGTAATCACATGGTTCCTCGTAAAATTAAGGATTAATATCACTTGTGTTTTCGGAAGTTGCAGAAATTGCCCTCGTCGCTGCGGGACTCGGGCAATTTCAGCAACTTCCGCAAACACGCGTGATATTAATCCTTAATTTTACTCGGCCCCATGCGATTACCTATACTAATTGACTTACGCGTAATTGTTGGTTATTGTGCGTTTGACACCAGACAAAAGGTGCTTATATTTAACGTCTAATTGAAATATTTTGCGAGGTCATTTTGGCAATTTTGGTGTCGTTTTGTGCCTCTGCACATATGTTTGGAAATTATATTAGAAAGTCGTGTTTACAAATTATACTTAAAGCTATCTTTCTATCGTTTTTAGCGCAAGTGAAAAAATTAATTTCTTTTAAAAAGTTTAGTGCTCCCCAGGTATTTCATGAGCAGTTTCAACAAAACAATTTTGAGAACGAGACCACATTTTTCCATATATCATAACTGTAAACAATCGTCTGCATACTTCAGCTGTTTGTCAACATATGCCACAATTCTTTATTATTACACTGATTAATTTGAAAATTCCTTCCAAATTATCACTCACTAGCTAGTAACACACGATACGTCTCCTGGATGAATAAGGCGAAGTTACGAAGCGTTGTTTCATATGGATAAAACACATCAACACAATGAAATACTCGGACAAAAATTGAGTCAGCTCACGTCACATCATAGCAGAAATAACAGCCGCAATTTGTTTTTATAGTGTAGAACATTGTTTGCTTAGATATTTTCAAACATATCTTTATCTAGGTGCTTAAATAAATTTCCTTTTTAATTATTTTGATATTTAATGCATGACCCATTCCACTGGGCAATCCATGCAGAATTTAAAATTGAGGTTGTGTCAAGTAATCCGGCATCGCTGACCAAAGGAGAAACGACTGAGAGTTGGGTCAGCCTTGAAGGACAAAGATGTTACTTTTTAGCCGCAATGACTGTGTCTTTCGCAACTGATCGAGTAATGGGAAAGTGGTAGTCGGTGTGTTAAAAAGCAGAGGTTGAAGCCGAAAATCTGAAAAATCTTTAGGTCACACAGGAGAGTTAAAAATGAGATCAGTCTATCAATATGACATCCTGTATGGAATTCTTACAGACTAGGGAAAAATTGCTTAAATTAGGTGTAGATGAAGTTGACACATGCACTGGAGGGAAAGTTCATGAATATAAACAAGTGATCAACTGGTGACTATGTAGACAAGCAGAGTGATAATCTCAATTGATGAGAGGCAAATGGATTATTTATTTGTAAGGTTTAGTCCGGAGAATTTTAACGAAAAAACAAAACAAGCCGAATGAAAGTGTGAGGGCCGTGTTCGAACCTGGAACCCTTAGAGTTTAAATCCTGCGGTTTTTTTTTGTTGTTGTTTCTCAGTTGCTTCAAAATGATAATATTTTAACACTGAGCTAGATCCAAAATTTTTGGCTTCAGGTATTCATCAGTTTTGATTTTAGCTCTTAAAGGCGCGAGAAAAGAAACAGTGACATATTACATCACATGGGGATGCTTATTTTACAGTGATAATCGATTGAAGTAAAAGAAACAACAGAAACATACTCCGCGGGCTTGCATGTATCAGTGGGGGTTCTTGGGAAACCGCAAAGGAAAATAAGAAAGTGGAATCCAAGCTCCACATCATGCAGTCTAGAGTCTATATGTTAGGCATGGAATGTACATTGAACAAAGGCCCTATGATACCATTTCATGTCGGGTAGAACGCCTGAGAATTGTCACGGCACCGAGGAATGGTGCAGAGCAAGTTTCAGAGAGCTTAAGTAACATCTTCTTCACGCAGGGCCTCTTCTGTACATGCGTACCCTTTTCAACGAGGCTATGACACATGCTTGTATTTGATGAGCTAATCAGACACTCGCGATCAAAGAAAAGAGGAAAGAGAATATTCCTCAAAAGAAACAGCTGAATCTCACTTGCACAGAGAAGAGAGGCTTTTCCAAGTTTCCAAGTTTATTTCGCACTATTCAAATGAATACAGTATAAGATGACTCTTTAACTAGGTGAAGAAGATCATGAGAAGTAGATATCATGCAGGTTTGTATATGTGTGCACAGCGACCAAAGTAGCCGTAGCTTTCATGTTCGTCACTGTCCCATTTAAGTAAATAGAGAGGTCCAGGATACAAGTGTTAGGTAATAATAAATTAGGGTATATTAAGAGACTAGTTGTTGATATAAGTATATGGAATGAATACTAGAATCAAATTATAAACTGCTCTAACTCAAACAAGGTTCTAAGTGACTAGAACCAGGGCCCTCTTCTTTCTCCTCTTCTCTTTCCTTTCACTCGATCCCATAAATTTAGAGCCCTGGATGATGACGCACTCGTAATGCGAGACTCGTGTTAGCTTTGGTTACCTGATCAACAGCACTTTGATCAACTAATTCTTTACATTGCCCTCAGTTGACGAGATAAAAACTCCTCTTTTCTTCATTCTCATGAAGAGACCGGAGAGAAACTTCTCAATGACGGCAGTCTTCGTGATCATCTCGTTCACTACGAAGAGAGACCGGTTACCTTGAATTTGGGAACCAAAGATCAGGCCAGCGCAAACAAACTCAATTTCGATTCCCCCCTTATGCAAGACAGTGGTTGCAATTGAGACTCATGATAAGTAAGGTCCACCTTTGAAAGCTGTTTGTGCGAATAACAACAAAGCTGTTGTATCATAAACAGAAGCTTCCGATGGATAAATGGACAAAGCACCACCGAAACTATAACACAATTAGACTTGCGCTCAAAAATCCTCAAAACGCGATTCTCTAAACTCAACACTGCCAACCGAACGCTCAATAACTGAACGCGCACGCGTCACGCTGGATTGGTTGTCTTGTAAACACTCGATCCAAAACTACCAAAACACTTGCCAAATATCAAGCGGTTGGCCTTGCTGCTTCTGGCCTCTCCGCTGTGAATATTTAGAAACTTGATTCTATTCCAGGCGCACTTTTTGAATTTATCATTTGGTTATCGCGTACCATCATTAGCTCATTCTCTCATTCACTTCGCTTTATTGTCTGATCATTGCTGTTAGTTCTGAGAACGCTTCCACAGCTCTTGCCTGCGCCTTAAAGACCTTAAAGATAGTTTCTAACACATAGGTGACTCTATAAGGGGCTCTGGAAGACGATCAGTGACTCGAATACGCGCGTTGTGCGTCTCTCGCGCGAGAGAAATCGTGCATTTCTCGCTTCTCCAAAGTGTCCTCGCCGGGTTCATTCACCGCATCCCGTCATCTCAGTAGCAATAAAAAAAAAAAAAGTCCTTTGAACCTTTGAGATAGTACCCGAGTTGTCTTTCGTTCACTTGATTCTACACAAGTCTGATAACAGCTAAAAACTAGCTTGCCCCGGGAGTTTTACCACACTGCATAGGATCTAAAAGATTTACGAACAAAACGAAGAGTGGGCGTATGAGTCGCTGCAGGATGTAAACATATTTACAGTTTGTGTGACGCAGTGGTTTTTCGCATAAGGCCGATTACTTGGTTACTTAGACATGTGTTCAAAACAAGATTATAGGGAACTTTCTGTGAATATTTCAGATAAAATTATAACATCTTGTAAAACGACAGTTGACATTTTGGTCGCAAAATCATTGATATTCAGCGATTGTTCAGAGGGGAAAAAAATCGAAAACAAGACGACATAATTAGCATATTTTCCGAATTCACTGCAGCCGTTCGTCACAATAAACCACATTGTTATGCTAATTCATAACAATTTCTGGAATAACGCCAAAAAGGCGCTCAAATCCCAACGAACTCTGATCGAGCTGTTTTCGAGCGCTGTTGACGTAGGCTACGAAGAAATCGTTCGTCGCTCGTCTCCTACCAAACAAGTTTTGTCTTGTTTTGCGGACATAGTGCGAGGACAATGCTGAAGCTCTGCATAGCCTGCAGCTCAAAGGTTGGTCAGTATGTTGAAGTAACCCTATACTTTTATCTAAAGGAAAACATTCTAAGGTTAGCTAGGATTCTTAGTGCTTGTAAATCATCGATCGCGCAGTAGTGAGTCTTTCGGCAGTTGTGCCTCATCGTGACGAAGTGTTTTATGTCAAGCCTGTTACTGAATTTGAGTACAGTGCGAAACAGTTAAAAAGATTACCATCGCAGAGGTTAATTCGGTTTCTCTTCGTTTAATGGAGTTTTGCTTCGCTGAATCCATGATCAGTTGTATGCGATCTTCGTTCCTGCTGCCAAAACATCAACAATTACCTTGTTCGGTGTGCTTATGTGACGTTCGTTGCAGTCTTTGAAGAATGTATTCTGTTGCATTTTGAAACAGTTGAAAAGGGGACTATGTTTACGTTTGATATAGTGACAAAAGACACCTTATGGTATTATTTCACTGTAAAAATTTTGCACACGCTAACTCAAACGTATACACCCTGACTGCTACTGTGCCGGTTGCTTACAACTTCAGTCTTTCATGGAACCAGAAATCAGAGCGGAAGGAGAGAGAGTGCACTTGGCTAAACAGAAATACAGATCCTTACAACCGACAGAACTCTATATCACGAATCTTTTCCTCCAGTGCAACCGGCGCAGATCACAGAAAACTCGAACCATTTTTACCCACCCCTAGAACTTAGAACCATCAGTAAAGCACAGAACAAGTCAAAAAATAAGTTCAGGATAAAACCTCAATTATAGCGAGTCTAGTATGGCGTTTACAGGAACGAAGTACGTCTAAAATAATTCCGAGTCAATCGTTCATTTTTTCTTTTCCTCAAATCATCGAAAAGTAAGATAAATCCCTTATTTGCAGTATATGTAAAATATTTTCCCTTAACTGAATGCAGAATGTCGTTTACCGGGATTGTGACATTTGCTTATATACCTCTCGTGTTAGTTTAGGGAAAAAACTCTATTACGGCAAGCTTAAGTATGTGGTGCTTAAAAATTCTCACTGGTATGATTGATCGTACATCATCCATGAGGCGAAAACAAAGAATCAAATTGGTACTACCTGGAAAATTCGAATTCGATCGCGTTTGTCTCTATGTCGATCATTTGTCGATATTTCAACGAACAAAATACTTCCTTGAAGAGCATTATGAGAGCGATCAAATGCGCTCAGCTTACTCACGTATCTGATTCAATTTAAAGCGAGTTGCTGTTGAAATCTTACTACAGTTTTCAACTTGATGAGTTCGCAAGGTCGCTCTTCCATTTTCACGGAAAATATTCGTTCGTTATAATCTAACCAATAAACATTAGAAAGACCACTGACTTTGTACACCTTTTATCTGCCCGCAGAGTATGTGGTTATAAACAAAATTAACAAAATTATGAACGAAACCTGACAAAGATGTGACGCAAACTCCATTTAGCATCAAAGCTTTATTGCAAAACAACATGACCGTTTCGTGACAATCTTGAGCATTTGAGCATATAAAGAACTTGAGGATTTGAGCATATAAAGGCTCAATTCTTAATGTTAAATGCATTCTTGAGTTTTCTTAGGAAATCCTTTTACAAAAGCTCTTCTTGTCCTTGGCTTAAAGATTACAGCGAAGTAGAAATCTTGATTTGAATCCTTCTTTTTTTTAATCAATTTATTTACTTATTATTTTAACTCACATGCATATGTATCGCTTATCATCTAGGTTGCTGCCTCCAGCCGTACCTGCTCTTGCGGTCACGTGTTCTCACCGGAGACCCGCAGGATTGGTGGGAAACGATTTTCAGGTAGGACAGGCAAGGATTTGTGATAAATGTATCACCCAGATTTCTTAAAAACGTCTTTCTCGTTCCGGGACTTGTGAAAGGAATCTTGAGAAAATTGTAGTGGCAGATAAAAATTGAGAGGTGATTGGACACTTGCCGAGGGAGGGAAAATGGCGTTTCTAAGGGAACCCTGGGTAAGAAGGAATAACCCAGGAATAGGTGCATTTCATGCAATGCACTGTTGTGCATTGTGATCTCTTACATTTATTTCCCTGATATTTGCGGTAAGCCTTAGAATTACGAGAGAACAAAAAATAGCCCCCAAAACTGTCATCTTCAAATAAAAAAGTTCATTGTCGAAGCATAAAAATTGAACGACTTTTGAGAGCCAAAGACGACATCATTAATTCCTTTTTTTAACTTTTCATCGAGGAGGCAGAAATGAACATTTTATATCGTTGCCTAGGTTACCGTTTGGGAACAACAAGGAGACATTCATTCAGTACTCGTAGGGAAGGACAGCAAAATGGCAGCGGGGTTAGCGATCCTCTTCCTAGGAAGGTAAGAAAATTGTATTGGGCATTTAATTTTTTTCTTGCATGGAAAAGATCTTAGTGTTAATTATGGATCAGCCTATAATTTTCAAGTTTATTTGTGACGTACGTCAGCGTCTCAGTCAATCCTTGCGATTGCTCAGTCAATCCGTGGACTATTAGTTCTTGCCCAACTAATAGTTCACGGTCTCTTCAAACTCAGGCTAATTTTAAAGAACGAAAATTGTCTATAATGCTGAAAAAGGAAATATATTGTATTGTCCTTTGAATGCACCACTGGTCTCCTTAAAACAACACTTTGCTGATTGGGCCAAAGAACGACGCGAGTGGAAGAACTTTTGCCAATTTCGGAAACTCCAAACAACTTGACCGGTTATCTAACTGCTTGCTAGATCAGATATTCCTATAATTGAAAGTAATTGTGAACAATTTGTCCAGATTAACGACTTTTGTAAAACATTAGGAACTTTTTACTCCCAGTGGCCATGAAACTAACGTGACTTCAAGTGGTCATGGTCCACTTGAGGCTGGTGAAAACCACCAGCTTTACGGAGACGCCGCGCTTAATTGGCTGAGAAAAAAATTGGCCTAATTTTCCTTATAAATCATACATGTTGCTTGAGTATTGTATAAGCCATCCGGCTGTTCAATTAAAGTGCCTATACAAAAGATTAGGAAATTTGGAAATCTTGCTATTAAAAAACGAATAATTGATGTTGAAAGTACTCTCCAGAATTCTTGAACGTGTCTATCACCTTCTACAGGTGCGCAAACCTGCTCTGTATCAGAACCTCAAAAGTTCCAAAGTTGTGCAGGAAAAATCAAAGATCGTGCCGGAAAAACCCGCCATGAAACGAAAGGGACATCCCACACTATTTAAAGAAAACCGGACCAAGGCAAAAGTAAAAAAGATCGATCGCATCGTGCGAGTGTTGTCTTCGCCTGAAAGACGTTTGAAGCTCTCGCTAGCATTAGCTGAGATCAACAGAAGATTGACAAGCCAAATGCTCATCTGGAAAATGTTACCGTGTGAAACAGGATAAACTTTTACTAACATGAAAGTTTAGTAGTCTCCCAAGCAGTCAGTCTGAAGGTCGTCACGCAACGGGTCCGAGAGGAGTCGTGCGATTGCGTGACAACTGGAAACGTTGCGTGATGAGCTAAGATAGATGACTGCCTCAGTTCACTTGAGACATTCAAGGAACAGCGCGTATGTAAGTTTGTATATTATGTACAAAACTTTTCCAAAAGCCACATATGATAATTTACATAGAGAATCTATCGCAGAAATTTCAGTCAAAGGCATTCAGCGTAACCAGACAATTTGATTCGTTCATGGAAGTAAAAGGAACAGTTCCCATTCGCAAACCGACACCAGAACCAACTGGCTGTACTAACTGAAAATATCAAAAATCATTTTCAGCACAAATGAATAGACAATCAATATTTTAAACATCGTGATGGACAGATCAAAAACTTTTTCTCATCCTTTTTCATTCACTTTTGAGAAAATTTTCAATCATAGCATGACATAGTTATTTCTAGGACTCTATAAGTTTGCTGGTACGGCTATTTCGCCTTTCTTTAAATTATGGTGTACTATAATGTCACATACCGACATAGCCAGATTACTGAGGTTGTCTTGGTGTAAATAATTAGGGAGCTTTAGCAACGACGACGGCGACGGCAACGAGAACGGCAGAAAACAATAGGCTTAATGAGCAAAAACAATCGCCCTGCACGTGCGTTTAACATTTTGGTACATTTCTTTGCCGTTCTCGGCAAAACAACAACGTGAAATAACCAAACTTTAGGTTTTCTCGAGAACGTGAGCGCATGACGGTTAATTTTTCTTTCTTTCTCCTTACTTTAACGCCGTTCGTAGTGATATAGTCCCTGAATAGTTCGCCAGCATTTTCCAAGCGAAACACATCGGAATAACCTCGAAAGAGTTACAAAAACGAAAAGTTAGATTTCGACACGACGTTTTCGTTGCCGTCGCCGTCGTCGTTGCTAAAGCTCCCTAATAATTAGTGTAAACCCCTCTTCCTCAGCAGAAATCAAACGGCTTCTATTAAACAGTTGCTTACTCGTCTATTCAGCTGTGGGAGTCTGCGGTTACTAATTAAAGATTCTTTTTAAGTATGTTTTTTTTTAAATCTACACCGTACTGTCAGTTGAATATTGATGTAGTGTAGGTAGCTTAGGCAGCCCTTGTGAACCTGAGTGTGTCAGATAATTACTCCATAGACCACGTGGAAACGGGAAACACTCACTTTAAATATTTTATGTTAGATGCGAAGAATTATATTATATACATTTGTACATGCAAGAGTATTGAAACCGGAAGAGTTTATTATCCATCAATAAATGGAAATATCAGTTTCAAAATTCCCTAACAGTGATACTGGTCATTTTCACCAATATCGTGCAAAATTGGTGCAATTTTTATTTCCAGAGAGATATTGACCCAAACATCTCGGAAATGACAAAAAAGATTGTCGGTGTAACAAATATTTTGCCTTATGTCTCAAAAAAAGTGTTAAGATATCTCTCACTATTGCTTCATAAATAACCGATTTTACATCGGGAAGTTTTGGGAAGCTAGGTAAATTCATTAAAAAAGGAACTGTTTTCATAAGAAAAGAGTTCAAATTCCTCAAGACTGACACAGAAACCGACATGACTTGGGCATGACTGCGACTTCTTGTAAAAAATCGAGCTATAAGATCTGTTTACAGCAAGTGTCGCTTGCCATTATGGCCACCCTCCTGTTCCCTATCTCGATAATGCTTGGTTTCAGTGGTACGTTGTGATCTAGTACCCAAGGTTTGCTTCCTTGGGATTGTCTCCAAATTTGCGAAACGCCAGCACAACGCCTTGCCGATCGCCGCTTGTTTTCAGCATTTCCGTCGCTCTCTGAGTAGTTGATGATAGACCGCGCATAGACATCAATAAGGCCTCTAGCTGAGCAGGATATTGTTCTGGACGGATCAATATCTACGTTGATGCAACTCTTGCTTATTTATAATTCATCGATCATCAAACCCTCTCCGCTCGCCCCTCCCTCTGCATGGCCATCATATGTGTCAATGAGTCCGCAGTGGCCCCTTTTCATCGTCTGCTGCTGACACCGAAACAGTTTTTTCAGTCACGCGAATGGATGCATGTCTCTATCTCAATCTGTGTGTGTCGGGGGTGGGGGATTGGAATTACTTCAATGCAGTAGCCTACGTATGATATATGTGTGGACACGAACCTTATGAATTTGTTATTGCTACCCGGCACGGGGCAAATGTTTAATCGGTACACCTATCCGGTACAAATTATTTTGAATTATAGTTACTTATTAGTCAATTAGTCAAACCACGGTACGGGAGCGGTAAGTTCCGACTTCCTGGAAGCGAAAAATTTTCTTTCTCTTTCACCCGTTAAAAAAGAGAGTAGAAAAAGGAAAGAAACCCGACCAGCAGTAAGACTTCTTTTATCCACGTGGTTTTATGGGAAAATATGGAGAAATTATTCTAATTATTGAGTCCACCTACGAATTGACAACGGGAAGATGAACTCCTGTTTTTCTTTTTTGCTTTTTTTTTTTTCACACTCTCAGGTAAGGGTTTCCTTTTCGCGTTCTCTAATCAACTTTGGCAGGGTCCAATTCGAAACTATCTTTAAATTGGACTTCCGCTCTTGTCTTATCGAGGTGTGCTTGAACAGGTTCCAGTTTCGTGCTGAATGTTTCCATAAGAGGATTTCAGGCATGACCTCAAGTTAATCCTCTTTTCCACGCTTTTTACAAGCGGTATTCTTTTATTACATTGCGCCAATCAACACGATAGGCTGTTGTTCCTTTGCGCGAAACTAATTACACCAAAAGAGCACTCAATAGAAGATAACAAGCTGCTGCCCGCTGTCTCTTGAAAACAGGAAGTTTTAAGGAGAAAAAAAAATTAATGCTATTCAGTTCTGATACCGTAGCAACACTATTTTCGTTTCGAATCTTCGGATGTGAGTTTTGTTTCTCGTATTTTAAGAGTTGATTCTAGTTTCGAAACAACAGAAGTAGTTTGAGGTCTGCATATCTGTTCCCTCCCGAAACACAAATTGACAAGAATATTCACGGTCGAAATTACAAATAAAATTAGTTGAAAATTTGGAGAAATTGAGACAATTAAGCCACGCAGCCGGCTCTCAAATTTTTTTTAAATAGCTCAATTTTTTTTAAGTTTATAATTATCAATTTCTTAATTCGTGTGAAATTGACCAGGCCAAGAAAGATTTTACTCCCAATTACAATAACGAATCGACTCAACTCTATCAAAACAGTGCCATTTCCTTTCCTATGAATCTATCATGGCCCAAAGAGCGAATATTTGAAGAACATCCGACTACAATTGAATAGAGTGTAAGTGATATTTTGGCAGGTCAAAGCAACGAGACCTGCTTAACACTAGTCGCCGAAACGAAAGTAAATTAGAATATATTTAGCTAAAAACGAAACAAACAGTATGGCACGCATTCGCGTAAAGAGGACTTGAAATCATTTTCCAATTTCTAGGTTTCGTTACCGACATTCTCCATTCCTACTTTGATTTGTAACTTGTACTAGCCGTGTTCAAGGGTAAAGACAAATTATTCAGATCAGCGCGATTGCGCGTTGTTGTCAAGGAAACCAAATACAGCCCCATCTGGCATTTTTCTCGCCTTATTCGTCCGTCAGCGCCAATATAATAATGCCAAGTGAACTACTTGCTAAGAACCACCCAAGCAAAAATATGGATTGTCTCACGTTTCACTTAAGTAAATGCTTAGCAAACTGAACATCGTCTAAAAATGGAATTATTCTAAAGCAAAATCGTGGTACCCAGCCAGCGTTTGTAATGACACTTTGTCTTTTTTTTTATTGGCTCCCTGCCGCACTCATCCACCCACGCTCTTCTAGGATTCAAATTAGCCACAACGCGTGTTCATCGTGATTCGGCAAATTGAATTGAACTTTTTGATAACTATGAATATCCTTTTCTACACTAGTTCGAGAAACATAACGTCAGGACAAAAAATATTGCTTAATATTTGATTATGCCCTTTGATTATATTTGAGAGCTAGACTTAACAATCACAAGGGGGCACTGTAAAAGCCTTTATTGTTATTCTGTGAGAACTCGAGTGAATTCAACCATCTCAAATTTCAAAAGAACAAACTTATTCTCACAAGAACTTGGTCCAGTCCAGCAATAGTCCTCTTGTACATTATACTTAACTTGTTGTAGAAGACCCAATAATCATTTCTTGGTCACTAATTAATAATACCAGCCTCAATGAACCAACATAAAATAACTTTGAACACAATGAATTTAATTCAATAATTTACATAACATCCTTTAACATCCAGACAATCAGCATATGTTGTCATATTTCATGATCAAAAGGGCACAGCAGCCCTGAACAGAAAGCCTATACTTTACAGAATTTATTTACACTTAAGTTTGACCAAAGGTTTCACCGAGTAATTTCCTAGTTATACAATATTGAGCAACAACATTTACACATTGCTCTGAATGACTCTGTTAATTACACCTTTACAACTGAGTTGAAAATATAACTCTTAAATTTATAACTGAGACATCTTTAATTTTAAATATCTAAATAATGTCAAATATATCCTACAGCAATATTTACCTGTCAAGAAAATTCCACAGATGCTACAAAATATTTTGGGGAAACAATTGATCAGTGGTTGAACACCAAATGTACATTCAACACAAATACTTCATTAACCAAAAGTAACATTATCCCTTCCCCTTTTATCTTGCCAGCAAGACAAAAATATATGGTATATATTTACAATACCTACTCAGGTTTATTAATCTGAAGTAGCACAGACATTTTGATTGTCATCAGATGTTACCAGTGTGATTATGTGGTTTTCATGATCATTCCAACTTAAAGTTGATTGTCATGACATGATTTCACTCCAATTTCTATTTGTTTTACTTCCAAAAAAAGGAATTTGAAATCCTTTTCAAGAAAATTTGTTTCAAGAATGGATTTAAGCTTTCTTATTTTTTTTAAATATTGAGAATTCAGTGTAAATTTCAAATTCATTCACCACTCCCTTTGCATTGATCTTCTGAATATGGTTAACACACATTTTGAAAATAAGATTTAAATTGGCTTTCACGAATTGTCTTAAGAACATGTTAAGCTTGATTGCTGTTAATGAAGCCACAATCAATGATACCTTGGAGAATATGTTGCTTTATCCTTAATATTTCTTTGTTAGGCCTTTCCTGACTTTTGGAGTGAACACATTAGAAGTAGCAAACAAATTAGAGGTAGCAGAACATTGAAAGAAATTATGGCAATGTACATTATTCAATTATGTTTGGTATGTTAAAGAGAAAAATATGACATTTTGCATGCTGCAATGGAATTAAATTAGTATGTCTTAAAAAAACCTCTTGCCTGCCTACTACCAAATGTAAGAAAATCTCAGATGTGATCTTTCATTGAAATAGAAATAAAAAAAAAAGGGACAATAATATTGAGAAGAGGAGTTGGCTTTAAATATATTAGTTGGCACTGAAGATTGATCAAAGCCAGACAAATTTCATCTTCAGGTGAGATCAAAATAACAATGTCTGGTTTTCTTGGCAATTGATTGGCTGATAAAGGAGTTCCTCATTAATATTCTCCCAGCTGTCGACTGCCGCCCCACAAACCAGACGTCAAAGAATTTTCTTAGTAACATATTGGTGTCCTGAATATTCATGTTTACTCCTCCTGTTCTTCAATGATCGCATTTTGGTAGGAAAACATATTCAAACTTTTTTTAACGGCTTCGGTGAGATCCTCAATCTTCATATCTTCGGGGTACCCTCGCATTATGGGCTCTTGTTTATGTTGTAGGAAACAATGTTGGAGTGTTGACACGCTACCCGGCCTACAGATGCGTAACCAACCTACGGACTCGGCAGCTGAAAATCGGAACTGTCTGATCAAATAACATGCGATTAGAGTTCCTGTTCTTCCTAAACCGGCTCGGCAATGAACAGCGACGGCTCCATCGCACTGATCTACAACTCGTGTGAATTTCTTGATGATTGCTTTAGTTGGAATTCCACCATCTTCATAATAAAGATCGCTATGCGAGAAGCCGTTGGCGGTAAAACATCGCGCATCGTAAATAAGCCCATATTTCATCATGTTGTCGTCCTTGTTCAGTCTTACGACACCCTTGACTCCATTCTGCCTGAAATACTTTCTCAGGCGACTGAATCGACTCGCTTTGAGTTCAGGTCTTCTTTGAGGATCACTCAACGCCAACAACTTTCCCGGAACGATCCAGTTCAAATCCAAAGCGTGTTCTTCCTGCTCGTATCGATTCAAGTCAAACTCGTCAAAGTTGAAGAACCCGAGAGCTATTGCCTTCTCAAACCCTTTGAGACAGTCTAAAATGGCTAGGTTGTGGGATAAATTCCCATTGATATCACAGTAAGAAACCAGAGTTGACGGCAGAAAGTGCTGCTCTAGTAAAGCATAAATTTCTTCGGCAGTCATCTTGAGTTGACACATGGCGAAGGCGCCACACAGGAAAACAGACCGTGTTCGCTTCTTCGCGTCCGAAAAACCCTCGTTAGCTGTTGTGTAAAGAACAATCTTCTTTGATGCCGGAACCACGTGAAGTTTGGTGTTAACAAGACAACAGAATCGATAGATTCCAGCCAGATTTGGCGGTCCGAAGTAAGGTGTGTCGTGAAATTTACAACCGTCGAGAGTCCGGTCATGATCTACGCTAAAATAGTGATAGGATGAGTTGTTTCGTGGTTTACAACTCACACTCACAAAATACAGGCGATCTTTAACTACTTCGCAAGAACTCATGATGTTTCTGTCCCACATTTTCGTTTTCGTGTCTCCCTCACCACGAGGAATGAATGGCCGTTTCGGCTTGAACCAAAACAAAAGAGTAAAATAAACCGTCGTCGTGGCGCGCTAACATGCAGTCATTCATTCATAGTTGCAGCGCATTAGCATACCACGTGATAATAACAAACACCTGATTGGTTCAGATTACGGAAGAAAATTATGTATGGTTTAACTAGCCAATCAGAATGAGAAAAAAACAATGAGTGGGCTGTGATACTCCAAAGTTCATCCCGGTGGAATTTGGCGCGAAAGTTACAGATTATTTTTGGAATTAGACACAACAGTCTCGTCACGCGCTCGTCAGTTTCGAGTTGTTGATGAGGAAGTCGTTGATGTTGAACAATTTCCGCGAAACAGCCACAGATTTCGAAAGAGTAGTTTTCATTTTCTTAGCAAAATAAAATTCCCTTTTGTGTTTTAGTTCGAATTACTCGATATGCTCTTTAGTTGCCCAATTAAAAATACCCGCATGGATGTGGAACAACATTCCAATGCAAATTTGACGGAGTTTCGCGACAAGCACACTCAGGTGAAGGGCATGTGACAATGACGCATGAAGAATATTAAAGAACATTCCATATCATAAAGAAGTGTTTCAGAAATAACGGGTTTTAAAATGCCAAGAAAAATCACTAACCTCCTGTGTCGATGTAATATTTTCTCATACCTTCTAACAGGTACCTATTGGGTAACAGATTACCAGTTCTCAAGGGATTGATTTTCTATCCTTTTGTTTAAAAAACATCAAGACCGAACGGACAGGGAAAATATGGACTGAGGTTACAAATAGGGAGTACTTTTATTTCTATTATTAAAACGTATTACGTCGAAGTGCGCAATCACTACTGAGGTTGACAAACTAACTCATGGATACGTTTCCTATTTCTCGGAAGTCAGAGCCAACTGAGATTCTGCGTGACTGCACGCATGCCAGTTTGTGATCGTGTCATGTGTTCGATTAAAGTTTGTACGAGGTTTTCTTTACGATTTTGATTGTACATCTTCCTCTGCTGTTTTTATTTATATGTGTGAGAATATCACGTATTTACCAGAAGATTTCAAGAAGACTGAATCGCTTCATGAATTAGACATAAGCGTCAAATTAACCTGTCTGTTGAAGTGCGTCGCACGTACGTAAAGGAAAAGTGGAAGCACAATATCATTCAAGTATCTTAAATATCGAAGCTTAAGTCAAAACATTTCCATAATCTGAAAGGTTCGTTTTGCGATAAAATTCATACTTTAAATCCCAAAGTTTCAAACTGTTTACTTTTGTTATATTCGTATAAACCATGGCTAACTATTAACTGATGGTGTGCCTATATGTTCCGTAACTTCCTGTTTTAATTTACGACACATTCGCCCGCAAATCGTGACTTGTTTGTTTGTTAAAACCAAATGTTGTAAACAGATTGGAAACCACCACTGTGTTTGAACACTTTAATCTGATACTTGTTCAAAGAATACAGTTTAAAGGACATGATTTACATGGGTTTCAAGCCGAGACGAACACCAAATTTTGTGCAAACCCCACACATGAAAGTGATCGATAAAGGAAAGCATATCGAAGATTGCAGCTGATCATTTTGGCCACACCTGCTTACTTTTTGTCAACAAAGACCTAATTGACTGGAAACAAAAATATTAGTAATAAATATTCGGTACGTTGGCTCCTGGCCAATGACCAAAGAGTTCCTTTAATTCATTATGCAATAAAGCACGAGTTGGAAAACGACTAAACTATATGCGCACGTGTTTTGGTGTCTTGAATATCAGCAGTACAAAGATCAAGCTAGCGACGTGGTAGCTTCCTTGGGGTCAACCAAAGTACAAGATAACAATCTAATCCACTTCTTAGTGGCGCTCGTGGATCGATTGGAACTTGATGTCGTGAGCTAATAAAAAAAAAAGACAAAATTTAGTTTTAGGCCGTGTTTACTATGAAAGATGGAAATAGACTTGCAACTTGTGAACTTGTTTTTAATATGGAAGTTTTACAGCTGGCTCATCATGATTGGCCCATAACAGCTTTGATGTAAATACGGGAAGATTGACAGGAATTGCATCCTATTTAAGGAAAAAGCCATATGCAGTTGACTCAAATTTATGGGAAAAATGAATTAAAGAAAAATTCACTGTTTTATACTCAGGAGAAGCACCCCAGGACTTATTCGTGATATTTCTTTTCCATGTTGCAATCGTGATCATTGATGAAAGAAAACAGAGATCAGGGTATCAGTAAAGAAATACTCTACTGCAGTATTTTCATAAATGAAGTATATATGTAATCGAGCCTACTCCGTGAGAAGAGTGGAATGTTGATACCTTAAAGTAAACTTTACATCTCTCCAAAAGGAACTGTATTTTTAGATTTGTCAGCTGAGGAAAAGTCCAGCGAGCCAAGTCCATTGCCTTACATTTAAGAAAAAATCAGATAGGGAATACAAGTAAATGAGGAGGCAAATTGATCATGGAAATAAACGACTAAAAATAGATCGCATCTTATTTATCCCGAGCTGTCTAGATAAATTGGATGCGTATCGTTAAAAATGGGTTATCTAATCGTCTGCCCACGGGCATTGTGGCTTATGTAAAGGCTTATATGAAATCTGGCTCGAACGTGTATGTGATTCTGCATGGAAATTCATAGCCCGATTTGTTATGTAAGCGCGAAGATCAGGTGCGGGCTACCGGTGGGCAAACCCAGCTTGACACAGATCGTGGATTTTGCCTACGTGTTTATCGACGGCCACAAATGAAGTGAGTCATGATCAGCTTTACTCGGAACACTGTCCCTGAGTTATCGACCAACATTATGTGTGATATCTAAGCCGATCACTTTCATTGCATTCTCTCTTCAAACTTGTGGTCAACCCCGACAGTACATTTGGAGTAAAGTTAATTCAAGTTCTTTCGAGGGATAATTCTTTAATTTTCACGGTTCTCTCATTTTTTCTTGCTTTTTAATACTTTCACGGGTATAGTCCGAAAACATTTTTGGCGATGTGGAGCAGCAAATGCGGCTGGCAACTGCCGCATTGAGTTAGATCCAATAAAGTGTGTGCGTTGACCTTACAGTTAGCTGTATTTGAACTTACTTTGCACCCACACATTGTCTCTGCACAGTTTTCAGCAAGCCTACAGTTTTCAAGTGTTCCCGTGTGATCAGAGAGGGAGACCATCATTTCATACTGTGTCTTGATTATTTGCTGCGCGGTTGAACTGCCAGGTGTAGCGGGACTTGACGACACAAGGCATTCCGGGTTCGTGCACGTCTTGCTTAGAAGAGCAACTCTTTGGTTACAAGACACACTTATACAAGAATGAAAACATAATGATTTTAAAGCGCTGAACAGCTACTTTTCTAAGATAGGTCCTTTTTAATTTTGAACGACACTCTAATATAAGACATTTTATTTGTGAGTTAGCTTACTACTCCCTGTCATTTGTTCTTGGTTTTGGAAAAGGTGTTAGCTAAAGCTAGTGACTTGTTTTGGACCTGCTAAAAGAAGTAGAGAAAGCTCTCTATTATTGCACTAACCATCTTGACGCTATTACTTGTTTTACATCGCTGTCAATGTCAAAAGAAGTAAGGCAGGCATAGACAATCCCAAACGTGGGAATCTGTTGCGAGGTATTCTCCAGTTCTGCCATTAACTGCTTTAGTTGTTGAACGCTGTACACGTCCTTCACATTTTCCACTACAGATGAATAAAATACACTTTTATTTTTGGTTACTTTCCAGCTCTCGACTACCACATTTACATTGTTTACTTACAATTTAATCCTTCTAGGGATGACTCCTGGTTGTTCAAAGGATCGTCATCTAAGAGCTCCAAGGACTGCGCATAATTATATAAGTACCGAGCTTCCATAGTATCTGAAATTATTACAACAAAGTAAGGTCAGCCAAATTGATTTTTCTCAGCATTAACATACATCTTGGCTTCAGGAACGTGCAAGGATTTTCCCACACTTTTAAGCATGGAAATTTCAATATTACCTGGGTTTGCTGTGATAACTGTTTTGTTATCGCACGTAGCGATCATACACTTTTTGTAGTCATCAAAGGTCACTTTGACATCTGCAATAAAAAGAACTACGGAGCAAAGAATCATGATTATGAAATGGCTAAATTGTTACGTTAAACACAAAGGAATTTCGTTTAACTGACGGCAGAACTTTATACTTACTTATATCCTTAGGCATCCACGTTTGAGCCATCTCTATGGTGTCGTCATCCCACCTGATATAATAGTTATACGTGTACAACTATTCTTACTAGAGTTTCAGTTAACCGTGAGTTTTATAATTATGTATGTCAAGAGATCTTAGTAACCAGATACATGTACGTAATTATGAAGAAATCGACTTTTCCATTCAGGCTTGGCAAAAATAACATAGTTAATTTTTTTTTATCAGAAACATTTCCATAAATGATACGAGCTTACATGACGAGTGGGAACGAGAAACAGGTTTCATCGAACAGAACCACTTCACATCTCTTGACTCGTTTTCCTGTTTTAGTAACGATGTCTCTCGCCACTCCAATCTACAAAAATAAATCATAACAATAAGATATTAAAGTAGGGAACTAAATAAAAGGAAAATTCTGCCAGATTGTAAAAAAAAAAAAAATTCTTAAAAAATCCAGTCGGAAAGTACTTTCTACTTATATTAAAAAAAAATGGCTTATTGCCAAGAGAATATGAAATGATAAGGTTGATGTTCTCCTTCTTATTGTCTAAAGCTTTATATTTTCAAGTTGCAATGTGTGGCCTGGGTTTTGTCATGCTAGCCAGGTTTTTGTTAACAAGAAGAGTTGCAACCAATCAAAGTATAAGCGCATAAGGGGCAGTTGTAAATAGCTTTGACTAGTTTTTTTTTTCAAGACTCTCTGAATTGACTCATGTTCAACAAATTTATAGTGCAACAGTTGTAGTTAGACTAGATCTAAAATTCTTAATACTTACTCTTTTTACAACAGCTTGGATATTGACATGTTCTCCATGTAAGTTCTGATCATTGGCTATGATATCACCCAGGGTGTAGAAGTCATTACTGGCCTTGATGGGTATATGTGAAATCTTGTCAAACTCACTCATGTCCCATCCACTAAATAAACTTAGAGACGAATATGTCTCACTGACATGTAGCTGATACGGACTACAAAGGAATCATTGAATGCAAAGAATATCAGTTAATGAATAACTAATGCACAAAAAAAAGAAATCCTAAATCTTGAAGCAGTGTTGGCCCGGGAATGAATAATTTGGTGAGATCACATCTGTTCCATTTCACCTTCATTAATTACTAGCATTATTATCGTCATTATCATTCGTGTTATCATTATTATCCTTGTATCAATGCATTTTATTTCTAAAAGTCAATTTACTGAGATATTGATCACCTTGATGTCCATGGTCTCCATCTTTGCTCAGCTTCATTACTTTGCTTAATTTGTATCTGAGGATTCCTTACTTCCACTGTTGTAACAATGAAGATACTGAGAACAATAGCAATATAGTGGCAACAAAGATATTCTTGACTGATAATGTAAATATAAGATAATCAAGGTTAAGGGCCAATCATAATTTGTCCCCTGGGGGTGGGGGGGGGGAATTTTGGCATTTGCCCCAATTCCCCATCAGGCTCTGTGGTATTCTACTGACCACCCTGCATTGGTGGTTAAGTTTTTACAGTCTCCCTCATACTCTGTTAGCAACGGCCGATCGCCCCACAATTCCTCCTGAGAATCATCTGATCACCCCAAAAGGCCCCTGAAACCCCACTCAGTCAAAAATAATGACAAAATTTGTATTGATAATATCAATTAATATGAATGATAACGATGATGATAATAATGTAATGCATGCGTTCTATTGTCCATGTAGCTTACATTTATAGTCTTTTTTCTAAGTAAGAGAAATTTTTTTTGAATAAAAAATGAAACATACCGACGTCGTTTATTTTGAAGGAATTTGCAAGGTCGTTAATGAACCGTTCATTCCCCCAGCAGTTAACATTGATGATATCCGTAGGTGTATCTCTGAGAGTGAAAAAGAAATGGCATTTTTCTGTGCCTGGATCTGCAGAAAAAAGTCAGTTACAATAAGCTTGCATCAGCATCAAAGGGCCAGAGTTTTATCGGTCAGAAAGCAAAGAAATATCTCACTTTTTCTGTCTGGAAATGAGTGAACTCCCTGCTTGGCTACGACAAGTCCAACAATGTTCTAAGAAGTAAAATGAATTAAATTAGTTTTTCATCTTGAGACGACATTTTAACTCTAATTCTAACCACTCTAACCAGAAATAAATTGTATAGTAACCTCTGCACTGAATGAGTGAGAAAAAGAAAAAATCAGATTTTTGAAAAGCTGGTTTTTTTTTCCATGGTCAATATTGTTTACTTGGCTCCACTTCATACTTACAAAGCTATTAACACCTTGACTCAAGTCGCGGATAGAGGTCCTTCCTTTGGAAATTTCTCCGTCCTCGCCAGCGAAACCTGTTCCGTCAGGCCAAGCTGTCTGTGTGCCAAAGCCATTAAAAGCCATCTTTTAACTCGCAAGAGGAACTTATTTTACAACAAAAAATATTCGACGTTGGATCAAGTCGAAAATAATAGGCTAATCAGAATAACAACAAATCCAAAGTTTGAGCAAGATCGAAAAGTTAGGATAACGAAAAAGCTGATTGGCTTTTTTAATCATACAAAATATGCGCGGGAAAATTCAAGCAGCGAGCGCAGCATAATATTACCCAGACTTCCTTTCTACTCTTCCTCATCGCGCATGTGCTGAGCAATGGCGGAAGGGAAAAGTACTAGAATTAAAAGTTATTTTGACGAAATTCTCGCCATGTGACGTTTATTTTTCGACGCACTGGGATGGCTACAAGGTAAACTTAGTTTTGAAATACACAGTGATGTATATAAGCCCTTCTCGCTGAGGGTTCTCTTCTTTATTCTCTGTAGACTTGAAAGACTTTTTCTCCTTCTCGACACTGGCTCCACTGCTGTAACACGGAAAGCTGCAGCTCAACAGCTTGGTGAAGTGCAGAAATTACATCCTCACGAGCTACAGAATCTTCTCAACAGAGTAGGTATTTTCTCCATCCGGTTCTTGTTTAAAGTGCCAACGAGATGGCAAGGCGTCTAGCTTATCAATGGTTGTTAATAATTTAGAGTCACCAATTCGATTATATTCAGGGTCACCACAAATTAGAAAATATGAAATTTAGTGTTGTTATTTCGGTCTACAAATTATTACACTTACATTTATGGCCAATACAGTTTATAGCTTATAATTTTTGAGCCTTATTTTTTTTTCAAAAGGGCAAGGTAAGAAAATGGAAAATGCTTAAGGTCTATTAATTATTGTCTTATCCAATGTGAATAAAATTGCTCTGTGAATTACTGAAAAATGGCATTTTTTTAAATCTCCCTTTTGGGATGGAAATGGATTGTTTTATGCTTTAAATTGGACAGTTTAGATGCTTTCTTATACTTGAAAAATGAATGATTCATTGAGCCTGTAACCCTGTAAGAGTGACTGGCTTTCAATTTCTCCTTTCAACATAACATTTGGATCCTTGAAATGTTATGATCATTAGATTAAAGGGAGTGATCACCACTTAAAGACACTCCTGATTGTTATACAAATTCTCCCTATCAGAATTAAAGTAAATGTAGGAAGAACAGTGTGAAGAATATATATGCCAATGTTTGGTTTTGTAAGGGTTAAGAATAATGGATAAATATTTCCTAGCCACCTGCATCAAATGTTATGTTCAACAGGTTCATGTATATCTGAAGAGTAGCAGTTGGGAGACAAGGATTGCAGCAGGTCAGGCCATCGAGGCTATTGCACAGAATGTGCCTCAATGGAACCCGGCAGCTGTGCAAAACGTCAAAGGTAAATGTTTTATGTGTCAGAGTGCTTCTTGATTGAATGAAATTAAATTAATCACAATGACAAATCAGGAGAGAAGGAAATTTTGTATGAATCCAATAAGAATTCATAGTAAAAACATGTTGACACCTTGATTACAATCAAACCTAAGCAAGGAAATTGTGATTTGTGTTCGTTTTGCATTTGATTTGGGAGAATAACACAAGTTTTCTAGATAACTTACAGTACTGTGAATCAAAGCCAATGTGATCATGGATTATTTTGGATGCTCTCTGCAAAAAAAGCTTTCAAGTATTTGCTAACTACATTATGTACACTGAACATATATGAAAAATGTATGAAAATAATTTATATAAACATATGCTTTTCAAGATATGAGAGTTGTGGAGACTTTTGGATTGTTTCTTTGAAATTGTTGGATTGCTTGAAGAATAGGAAATTCCCAATTATCATTAATGACATCTCAGATTTCCTGGAGTTTTGTAGTATATAGAGTTGGCAAAAGCCAATATTTAATTAATTTTTCTTTTTCTGTGGATACTGTGCTCCTTGTTTTGCTTGTGTGACAGTCAAACTCTGATTTGCATTCATAATAACTTGAAGTGTTTTTGGTCAACTACAGTTGAGCCATTAGAAAGCAACAGGTCAGAGACTATCAAGGAGGCAGTTACAAATGAGCTGCTAGAGTTTTCCAAGTTTGATATCAACCGTGTTTTAAAACATGGAGAGCGTTTGGTTGGCTCATCAGGGGCTGAATACGACCTTCCTGAGGAAGATCTTGAGGGTGAGAAACTTTAATTACTCCAGATGTAATTACTTGTCGTGAATTTGCTTCTACTTGGTCAAATAGAATTGTTGAAGCTTAAAATAGTGTTTCCTAAATTGCACTTAAGTATTACATGCAAATGGTTTCCATGTGATGAGGATGGGTGTATTAATTGCGGTCGTCTGTTTACAAGCTGCGTTTTAAAATTTACCCGCCAGTTTTAATAATTTGATTTTAAGTAAACTATTAGAACCAGGTAAAACTAAGGTTTTTAGTTCTGGACTAGCTTAACCCTTAAACTTCCAAGATCTGATTGTTAATTCTCCTCTATTGCTGCTTCACATTTCCTTGCAAATATAAGAGAATTTGGAGTTAGATCAAAGTAACAACTTCTGAGCAAGCATTCCCAGATGTCTAAGTAACCTAGTTTTATCATTGTGATGTTCATTTCATTATTGTAATTCCAATAAGGATGACTTAAGGATTAATAGAAAGTTCTTAAGATAACTTTAAAATGATATTTAACATTAAATATCAAGCCCAATTAAGTAAATGGCATATTATGTCCAGGTTTTTGGGCTTATTTTGGATTCTGTACTCTTTTACTGGCCAGGATAATATTGAAACAGAAATGAAACCTAGATTTCAACATTCATGTATGCGTGTGTGTGAATTTGTTGGAACCCAGCAGCGATAACTTTGTTTTGGTTCTGACATTAATTTTTCTAAGGCCTTGAACCAAAAGAGAGGCTAAACAGGCAGCAGAAACTTCTCAGAAAGCGCCTTGGCTTGGATATTGCTCCTGGAATTGATGTTGGAATGGATAAATTATTTGATGATGAAGATCTCTTGGTGAACACCCATGTAACTAAAGGGAAAGCTTTGACTAAACAAAAATCCTTTGAGGTGATACAATTTATACAGTAATATAAATTATTCAACATGTACCTGTTTCCAATTAACAAGTTATTGTTTTTCTAGTTCTCTTCCTGGTTTTTATTCCAATCATTTCTTTCATTTCTTGTGTTAAAATACATTTTATTGTTGACACCCGCCATGGGTTTTGTTGTGACTAGAAATGATAAAATCTTTCCTCAAAATTATGATCACTTGATTTGCCTTGACCTTTCATGTTAAATGTATTTTATGGCCAAATTCTTGTTTTTTTTTTTAGTCCTAAAATAATTTTCTGCTCCTCACTAATTTTTAACCTAAAGGCTAACAAAAGCTGTGCATTGTTTTAACAACACTGTGTATTAAATCTTGTTTCCCAAGCCAGCAAAGATCATAAAACATATTGCCCATTATTCTTTGGTCTGAAAGTGTCTAAAAATCCTGTATAATCCTGAGTAATTATGCTTCAAACAAATTTAAAAAAAATTGTTTTTGTTTGTTTCTCTTTACCTGTTAGAATGCTGCTGATGTAGTAGCGGCAGAGATAGCTGCTATAAGTTCATCAGCAGAGTTGAGCTCACGAGAGAAAAACAGAGCCAAACGAAAAGCAAAAATGCTTGCTAAGCAGAGATCAAAGGAAGCATCCAAGGAGGGAGAGTCATTTAATGACAGCATTAGGTAATCGGTTGGATATTTTTAAAGTACATACAACTATTTATAGTAATTGTTGTACAGCTCAACTTGTGGCTGCCCTGTTAAAGTCCTGTCTTTTTTAACTCCTCACTTTTTCATAAGTTTGTGTAAGGAATCAGCTCCACATTTTCTTCTGGTGCCTATAAATGTACACTACAGTACATGTGCATGACTGTCTCAGAAAGTATAAAGAATGTCATCTCAACAGGTTAAGACGTAAAAAGACAACATATCATGTAATATTTGTATATTACAGTTCAAAATAAATTTCAGGCAAAGACTAGGTTAAAGAAGTTGGGCTATATTAATAAAGCTGAAACCAAGGAAATGGAAACAAATAAACAGACATGTTATTTGAAGCTCTTACTCAATTATTTGTATATTTTGATGTGATGAAATTTATTTCGTTTGTCTCTTATGTTTTGTTTTGTTGTTCTTGTCCAAAATAGTATAGATAATGACCAGGAAGCTGAAAATGTCCCAGTTTCTAAAAAACGGAAGACAGCCAGCGTCATTGTTGATCAGCCAGCAGAGTCGGATAAGATGGTTGTGGATCAGGTTACTGATGTCTCGGCAACATTTGAAGAGGTGAGTAATGCCTCAGTCCCTGAACAATGTCTCTTTGTTGATAAAGTGACGTGTAAATTTGGATATTTTTTAATTTGTTTGTCTTTTTAAGTCTACTGAGTGGCCATTTGAAAACTTTTGCCAAGAACTATGCCAAGATTTGTTCCATCAAACATGGGAGGTTTGTTTGTAATTCTGCTTCACTAAATAGGAATTTTCAGTTTGCTTATTTTACATCAACTCACCTATAGTAAGGCTATGTATTATATGCTGTTCAAAACATTTATCTTGCATGCAATAACATTGTTATTATTTACACACAGGTGCGCCATGGGGCGGCTACAGGCTTGCGAGAAATAATAAAGGTTCATGGTCAAAGTGCTGGAAAGACTTTAGATTCATCTGTTGATGATGTAAGTATATGAAACAAATCAATGCTCACAACTTATTTGTGTTGATATTGCTGGCCAACGATAATTTTTTTTTTCTGAAGCTCCAGATTCAAAATAGGAAGTGGCTGGAAAACATGTCTCTTCTCCTTCTTTGTGTCATGGCACTTGATCGCTTTGGAGATTTTGTTAGTGATGAGGTATGTGTTAAACTTTCTGCAGTTGGAATTTTTTTATTTGAACTGTTTGAAAAAATGGTATTAGAGGATTAAATTTTAAAAGAAGCAAAGCTGTAGGTGAAAAACTAGAGCTTTGTTTAAACTTAAAGCAGTAATGTTGGTGTAAACCAATGGCTAATGTTTTTTTTAATAATCTCTAGTTTAACCACATGTTATTGCATGCATGATGTAAATTGAATGTAATTTTTCTTTTTTGATAGGTTGTTGCCCCAGTTCGTGAAACTTGTGCACAGACGATAGGAGTGATTTTAAAGCATGCTGATGCTGACAGTGTGAAGAGGGTAATGATGGTACTGTTGACATTGCAAGCTCAGGAGGAATGGGAGGTGCGTCATGGAGGGCTTTTAGGACTCAAGTATCTGATGGCTGTTAGGCAGGTAATGGCTATTCTCAAACCATTAATATTTAACAATTATTCACCAAAGGCGAGGTGAATATCGTTGAATAATCCCCGAGATGAAGTTGAGGAGATTATTTGACAACATTCACCGAACCTGAGGCGAATAATTGTTTTTAGTATAATTTCAGAGCTGAACAACAGAGAAATTCCTAAATTAAAATCATAACATTTTAGTAACATTTAACATTTTATTTCAACATTTTATATAAACCGCATGGAGCGGTTTATATAGCGTCATTTAAGGAACTGCTCGACCAATCAGATTGCAGGAAACTCTTTGCTCAGCTCTGAAATTATACTAATGGTATTTATTTTATTTAATTTTTTTTATGGAAAACAAAGCATTACTTAATAGTATACATGTAACAATTGTAAGAACTGAGAATGCAATGTAAGCAGGGAATGAAACAACAGTAATAATGCATAAATTTGAAATAATCGAAATTTATTCATTTCACTTTATCTTGAAAAATTCTTTTATCTATCAGGATCTGACAAGGGATTTGTTACCACTAGTGTTGGATCCTATTGTAACAGCTCTGAAAGATGACGATGACGATGTGCGGGCAGTAGCTGCATCAGCTCTACTTCCAGTTGCAGAGTCATTGGTCAAATTTGCCCCTAATTATGTAAGTGTGGCATGCATATAGCTAATAATTCTTTTATGTGGTTTAGTTTTGAAATGATATGGCTCTGTGCAGAAGTTCAGCTCCTTAGGTTTTCTTACAGTTTTATCAAATCCGTAACTGGTTCATTTTTAACCCTTTACACCCAAACATCAGTACCCAGATTCTTATACATGTACTCCTTTCTTTACATTTCCATTGGCATGGACAACAAGAAATTGTTTAACAATCAGAGCTCTTCAGGTTGGCAATCATTTCATTTTTCCGGTCATAATAAATGACTTGGAAGACTATTACAGTACGGGAAAATTACTGGTCATTCTAAGGGTTTGAAGAGTTCAAGCGTAGAGTACTTGTACAACATCTGAGCCATTGGCTCCATTAAATAAGACTGCCTTAATGCACAAATGAAAGAAAATTCCTGACAGGAAGGAGGCTGTTTAGAATGCTGACATAGATGAAATTTAACACAGATGGCAAATGACAAATGCACAAACTTTTAGCTCATTTCCCAGTTCAAGTATGCACAAACTGTAAATGGCATATAGCTTCCTATATAATGGCCCTGTATTTTATATTACCATATTACCAGGTGCAGGAAGTTCATGTGACCCTGTGGGACACACTTGTTGAACTTGATGACTTGACAGCTTCAACTAATAGCATTATGATGCTACTAGCCAGAATTTTGTCCTGTCCATCTGTGGCTTTGCAAGGAACAGAGGGTGACAATGCTCCCCTCACTGAGCTAGTGCCGCGGTTGTGGCCCTTTTTTCGTCACAATATAAAATCTGTTAGATTAGCAGCACTAGAAACTCTTCAGACTCTTCTTGTTGGAAGGCTCAAACATGAGGTACAGTATATACTTGCTATATAAACCAAAGAAAATAATGCTTATCTTATGAAATTCCAGCCTGGCTTTTGAGAAGTTTTAAACAAGTCTCAGATTGTTCTTTCTGGGAAAACAAACCTCTTTTTACAGTTAGATGGTACAGAAAATGATTTTCCTCTCTCCTCCTTGACTATAGGCAAATTATAGATGATAGAAGGCTACATGTAGTTGCTATGTTTGTAATAGCAAAAATGCAATTTGCTCTAGGGTTAAAAAGGTTGCATTTCATAGACAAATTCCACTTTTCCCTGATTATGTCATAGAAGAAACAGCCATTGAATTAAGTTGTACTTTACTGTTTGCTAAGGTAGTAGAGAGATTTAGGAGAGAAATCACCACCACCATACTTACTTTTTAGGACTTCTGCTAAGCCATTCTCTGTATATCCTTATATAGGAACTTATCTGAGAACAATAATTATTTTGGTCTTGTTTTGTTTCCAGCCATTGTATGTACATGTAGAAGGATAATTATACTAATGTACCTGATCTTCTTGCACATATTTCAGTCTAACGGAGAGAAGTTATTAGAATGCGTGTGGTTAACACCAATTCTACAAGACTCACTGAGGCACATTTACCAAAGATTTATTCTGGAAACTGATGTTGATGTCTTGGAGATGGTGTATAAGGTGATAAGTAAACTTTGTCTTTAGAAGAGCTCGAGAAATCACAGTTCTTTAAACTTACTTGTTATGTATCCTGTGAAAATCATTCATTCTTGTAAAGGTCTCAATTATATACAGTGTGGAACACAATTTCTTTTAATTTTCAAGATTCCTATAATTAAAGTAGCAAGTATTTTAATTAGTGTTTTTTTTTTTTTTTTTGGCCAATATTTTAGTTAGATCATAGGTAAGGGCCTCTTCCTTCTTTAGAACCTGAGTGGAGAAAGAGATTCTTCAAGAAATGAACACTGAATACTGCATAATGTCGTAATGATAAATGTCCTTCCTCTCAGGTGTGGAGTGTAATGCTTGACAGATCAGCTAAGAGTTTCCTTGGAGGAGTTACAATTCCATTCCTTAACAGTTGGCTTGGAATGATGATGATGCCAGCCTGCACTCCTATTGATCATACTGCTCTTGTGCAAGCTCTGCATAGAACTCAGAACAAGGTACTTGATGGAAATTGGCAGTATTCTTACTTTACACATCGTAGGTTTACTTGGACACGTGAAGGAAATGGTAGCTTGATGCGTAGCCATGCCTGGTATCAGTAGTTCTGGGTAAAAGTCCCAGCAAAGGTTATTGTGCTCTCTGTTTTGGCTACCAAAAATAAGTGTTACCAGAAAAAAAAACTGTAGTAATCTGAAGAAAAAAATTGAGAAAATGACACTGAAATATTCTGTTACCTACTATACCCCAGCTATAATTCTACCTGACTTGTAGTTAGAGGGTCAGTTGCCATCTTGGTACATAGCTTGATACTTAATAGTAAATTTATAGAAAACAGGTAATTTTTCATAATGAAAGAAAATGATGGAGCATGTATTACGTAGCAGTCTATGTTAATGTTTACCTCATTTTAAACCCTGAACACATTACAACTTGCTTCATGACTGCCAAATGTGAATCACCAAATTACCAACATGCGCTGCAAATTGAATGGCCATTTGATGTTGTTGTTTCAGAGACCACAATGGCTGTAGTTTGGAACATTGATTTGTAAAAACTGACATTATTTTGTGTTTGTGTCAGGGAGACCGTCATGTGGACAGGGCTCACATGATAAGAGGCCGACCGCTTCAGGCTCAAACTGAACCTCAATCTGAAATGATAGCAGGAGTGACACTGGCCACTAACTTAGCAGAGCGAGACCTTGCAGTTTTACACGCACGACTGGCAGCATCAAGGTACATGTTGTGCGTGATGTGTAAGAACTGTAGGACATGCCTGTGTGCTGATATTATACTCTCTGATCGCATTTGTCTTTAATTGTGTTTTTGCATTTTAAACTACCAGTAATGAGTGATTACTGCTATTTTTTTCTTGCGTCAATTGTACAGAGCTATTGGTCTTTTAGCATCTCATTATATTGGGTGTCCAGCTGGTGATAATGTAGAACTTCATCCTCTTGGTTTTCTGATGCAAACTTTGCAGTTTCCTCTCACATCAAACTCAGGGATTCAGAGGATGTGTGCTTCATTAACATTGGCTGATTGGGCTGATTCTCAAGTGGTAACTTAACTTCTCTTGAGTTCATAAAACATAACTATTATTTTTTTGGTGTCACTTTATACCTTTCAACAAGCTGATTTCTCCATGACATTTAAGGATGCATGCAAGTACCATAAATGTTTGAATTAGCACCTCCTTTAACACAAGAACCCCCTCTGAATAGAAAGCTACCATGTTCTATCAGCTAAAAAGTATAATACTGTAGTTACTCTCCCTGGAAAAAATCATAATACCTCCCATTTACCTCTCCTCCCTGATCCATGGACAAGTACAGACACAGCAATAAGTATATATAAATTATTATAATTATTGGTGTTAAATTACTCTCGTCCAACCTTGCAAATTTACACTGCATTAATTTTGTTTCCCCTCCCCCCTTCCCCCCTCCCTTTCCCACCTTCACTAAGGGCCCCCTTGAAATAAGCTTCTTCTGTCATATCTTGAATTTAAAATTAGCTGGAGGATTTATAGATAAGGAAGATTGGGATTTTAATAATTTCAACTTTATTGGATTCCATTTTGAATTTGATCCTTCTTCTGCTTTCGGTAGATGCATGTAGGCTCTGAATTATTATGTGACTGTTCTGAAATAATAATCAGTGAAAGGAACCAATCATAAGAAAATGTCAGTGAAAGGAACCAATCATAAGAAAATGTCAGGTGTCCAATTCTGGATGACCTTTGCAGTAAAAAGTTTGTGATTTATTTCTTTTATTCGACGTTCCAATAATTTTTGAGTTTGTATTATTAGGAATGCAAGTGTCCCGAGGAAAATATTGCACAGTTGAACAACATTTTATCTGAACAAATTGTGTATAATGAGATAGCTGTGCTCAACACAAGACTGCAAACAGATTGTCAGGTAAAGAAGATCTTCTTGTAAGATTAAAGACTGCACACTAACAAAAGAAGTCAAGGAACCAGTGTTATTCTTGTGAATACAATTTAATGTAAAACATATTAATATTATTCTAAAAGGGTTTAGAGTTCTGTGCTAAATGCATGAATTTCAGTATAATTTGAAAGTGTGGATGACAACTGACTTCTTTGGATGGGGACATGATCAGAAACTTGTACATGTAGGTATTTCTTAATGTTGACTTTTCTCAGGGCTTGTTAAATGCATTGCGAGAGAGAGGAATTGATGCCTCAGCTGGTATCCAGCCAGGGTAAGGAATGGTTGACTTATATACCTACATCTTATGAGTACATATGCACAGTATTCTTGACTTGGACAATATAAAATTAGGAGTAATGATACAATTTGCCCATGGTAAAGTACTAAATACAGTTTGTCTTTAGTTAGTAGCTATAGTTACTTAATACTGTTACTTACGTGTACATGTAGTTTTTATATTTATGATAATTAATACTAAGCTGCAAAAGGCAAAGGTTTATTCATTTGGGCATGCTTATATACTGCTTTTGAATCTTCATTCAAGGTGAGATCATTTATGAATCTTCTTTGTTTAAATTTTCAGCTGCTATACTGTTGACAATGCTGTCAAGCTAGCCTCCGATATCTTCATGGAAATTTCCAAAAAACTTTCACCACAGGTTCTCAAGGTTTGTGCCTTTTGAAACTGTTTTTGCATTTTGCATTTATGCTTCCAAAGTGCATTTTGCACAAACTAACATTGTACATTGTAACATTGTTTAAAGGGCTCAAGAGAGACCTACTGCAGTTGTTGGGGTGAATTGATTTCTCCATAGACTTGGCAAAATTTCCCACTCATTTGTCTATACACAGAAGCCACTGACATTTCAATCCCTTCCCTGAGGATTAGCCAGATTTTTGAGTTTTTCTTGCCTTTACTTTTTTAAGGCTATGCTTTTCTTTTCACATAGCATTACACAATTTATATTTAGGGTGCAGAGATAAAGAGAAGGCATTTAATGGCAACCATTGGACAATTGCAATCAGAATACCAAAAGCTACACATAAGGTATGTTTTGTTTGCGACTGAAAGCTGTTTTGTTTGGCTTCAGTTTTGATATGAGGATAATGGTAGAATAATCTACACAATTATGTTAATGTGTTGAATTCTGCTCCTTTAATTTGTTCTTTGGCATTATGAAGCTTGTGCTTGAAATTTGAGTCATTTTTCTTCAGGGTTGAGTGTTCTGTAAAAGTGTTTGTTTCATGGGCTTTTAAAAGAATACAACTAACTTTCATGATTAAGTCGTGTATAGGTGATTGAAATTAAGAGTTTTTTTCAAGAAAGAATTTACCAAACATGAGGAAAAATTGTTTATGTTTTTCCCTTTCATACTCATAGAGTTTACTCTCTGATTAGTTGTCTTAAATAATAATAAAAATTGTTTTTTTAAAGGTGGTTTTCTTTAATTAACTTATTTTACAGAGTGCAGGCAAGTGTTGCAAGCACACTGATCTTCTTGAATAAACTTCCTGCTAAACTGAACCCTATTATAAGGCCCATCATGGACTCTATCAAAAAGGAAGAGCAAACCATCATGCAGGTCTGTGTGTAGTTTACCTTATGTTATGACCATCCGTCACTACAGCTTTAAGGTGTGGATCCCCCTGTTTTATCAGGTGAATTTTAGACTCTGCAACGTAAAAGATGTACAAGGAAAAGGAAGTTGAAAGTAATCACTCACACCACTGTGGAAACAAGTCATTTTTACTTTTAGATGTTTTTTTTTTTTTAATGCCCTTCTTGTGTCCAGTTAAAAAAAAAATGTAGTGGAGGACTAAATAGAATCTTGATTTAACAAAAAGTTGAAAAAATCAAGTAGTAACTGTATTTGTGATCAGTGGAAAATCTGTGATAGCCTTTGCTTTTGATGAAAAATGTATATGAAATTTGGATACCCATCACTGCAGTAAAATGTTAACATGCAAAGTATTGTGAGTCATAGTAATAAAATCTTATTTTGTAAATTATTTTACATTTTTCTGTCAATTGCAGACTCGATCAGCCAAGGCATTAGCCAAACTGTTGGAACTATGTATGACAAGAGAACCATGTCCAAATGCCAAGATCATTAAAAATCTCTGCAGTTTTGCTTGTAGTGATCCTTGTGTCACCCCAGCAGTAAATATCAGTTTAACAGTAGCTTCTGATGAACCTCCTTTGTCGCCAATACCTGAAGGACATTCAGAATCAAACTGTAACTCAGCCTCTTTTGGAGGAACAAACACGGCTATGGAACGAGGGAATAGTGTACATTGTGATCAGTACAATGGTATTCTGTCTCTTGTTCAGCAGCAGAAGGTACTTTGAGTTACAAATAGTATGATAACCACACTTTAGTTTGTTCATATACGTGTCTTTCTTTGTCAGTCACTCTGGAAAGAGCTTACTATGTGTTTGAGCTAGAAGGGTATGGTTGTATGTGGTCTGAAAATTGTGAAGTGGTGATGTACGTGTGCTGCCTAGCCTGTGATTTTGTGTTGCTTTGTTGATTTCTTGAATTGGGCTTTTTATTCTAGTACCATGGTTCCCAGAGTGGTTCAAGTTTTTTTTTTCTCACTAAGAAGAATTATTTGCTTGTTTGATACTCAGTATTAGTTTAACTTTTACAATCTATTCAAAAGTTCGTTTTTCCAATTTTTTTTTTTAAAAGAGTGCAAGTGCTTCAGCCTCTAAAAAATCCAGTGGCAATGCAGGTCGTAACAAGCCTCAACCACCTGCTGTGGATGGGGTGTCTGTGGCCTCTCTTGATGATAACAGCATGGATGATCCTGAGGTAAGCTCTTCCTTGGATAGCAGCCAAAATTTGAGAAGATTGCAATAGCTTGCACTTTTGGAAATTCAGAAATTTGTGTTGTGAGATGTTATGTGTTCACAACCATTTGTGTGATGGTAACATTTATTTAAAGCTAATTCTGAAAATCCCCATCTATGTTGATTTAGATGGCTAAAGTTGTGAGTATTCAAAGGAGAGGTGCAGAATTTTCTCTGGTTAAATTAGCACATCATTTTGGAAGTGTGCTACCCTCAAAGTTACCCAAATTGTGGGAAGCAGTTGTGGGGCCTTTACAGCAGATAGCAAATGGAAATTCATTTGGTAAGTAGTGCACATGGGCTCTTTCAGCTGGAGTAAGGGGATTTCATAGGGATATTTAAGACCAAATGAATAAAAGCTTGGCACCAATTGGTACGTTTGCTTGGTACGTGTTAGCATATTTTAATGTACTTTTGAAATCTTTTAGTAGTGTGGTTTGGGGAACAGGTGTTTCCAAAGTCCAACTTGCATGTTTGAGTGACAAAAAAGTATAGATAATGCAAAACCATGGGGTTAGTGAATAGTAGAAATCCAAAGCATTAAAGATTAGGACATAGTAGCCTCAATTCTTAGAGTTATATTTCTATGTTGGTATAATTATTTTCTATCTGTCCTAGATCCAGACAAACTTATTGGTCTTGATAATGAAGCCCAAACTCTGGTAAACTGCTTACAAGTTCTTGAAGTCTTGACACCAGCTATGCATGTGGAACTCTTATCTAAGGTAACCTTGAACACTGAGCACTTAGGCTACTGCAAGTTTCCTCAATCTGGTTTTCTTAGGGAGCTTGCCTCTAGTGGCACTTGAAAAGGAAGTCTTCTGCACAAGCTGTTGTGCTCTTTCCTTCCTTGGTACTTAAAATAGTTTTGAGGTTAAAACCTACATGAAAGTAAAGTACCTGTTTAACCCATGTATTACCATAGTACTGTAATATCAAATTGACAGAAGTCTTTAAATCCCACTTAGAATTAACAATTATTTGCCTCAGGCTCGGTGAATATTGTCGAATAATCCCCTTGACTTCGTCTCGGGGATTTTTCGATAATATTCACCGAACCTGAGGCGAATAATTGTTTTGGTATAATTTCAGAGCTGAACAACAGAGAAATTTCTAAAATCATAACATTTTAGTAACATCTATTAACATTTTTTTTAACATTTTATATAAACCTCATGGAGCAGTTTATGTAGCATCATATGAGGAACCGCTCGACCAATTAGATTGCTGGAAACTATTTGCTCAGCTCTGAAATTATACTAATAACATTTATAAGGCTCAGGGTACATGTATATAGGACAACTACTTTTATTTTGTTTCCCTCTCTGCTGGCAAGAAACTCTGCTAGGCAGAAGATTAAAATCTGTTCAACGAAAGCTATCAATAGATATGAAGAAATGCCAGTTTTCATATGTTGCAAGACAGATTTTAATATTTGAGCCATTATTTATATTTTTGCCTTTTAGATTTTAGATTTGCTCCCCAATATAGTGTTGTGCCTTCAGCACCCTTACAGCGCAGTGCGACACTTGGCAGCCAGGTGCCTGGGTGTCCTGTGCACTGTGTCCATTGAAGATACCATGAGGACAGTGGTAAAGGATGTTTTACCACTGATGGGCACTGCTGATGTCATCAGGAACCGACAAGGGGCTATAGAAGCTATATCTTGTATCCTTACAAAGCAGTTTACAATTAGTCCGCTCAAGAAAGCTTTTGCATTGTACCCAAACTAATACAGAAGTGGCGATTTCTTCTGAATCTAACTTATGTTTGCTTTGTACAGATGTGGCATGAATGATTTAGAGGAAGAAAAATCTCAGGTCGGAGGATTTTGGTTGTGTCACAAAATTTGCCTGGTCCTTCCCCTCCCCTTCTTTAGGCTCTGTAGTATTCCAATGACCTCTTTCCAAAATTAACTGCCAATGACATCTTTCTCATTAGCAGTTAATTTTGTATTGTCCCTCTTTTATACGTCAGCGACGAGTAAGTCTCCCTCCATCCCCCTGAAAATCATGTGACCCCCCCCTCCCCAAAAAAAGCCTCTTCCCTTCCCAGGCGATAGATAATGACTGGTCCATGACTTCTCGCCATTGTGGAGTAGAGCTGATTTTCGCCTTTTGTCAAAAAAATGCTTGTTGGTATCCTTGACTGTCTACCTTACATCAGGTGTTATTGATCGGCTCGGAATGGATGTGGTACCGTACGTTGTTCTCCTGGTGGTGCCTGTGCTTGGGCGGATGAGTGATCAGTGCGAGGATGTACGACTTATGGCCACATACTGTTTTGCCACACTCATTAGGCTTATGCCTCTCGAGGTAATTCGGTAAATTTGAATTAGTCTTAAGTCTTTTATTTTGACAATAATTGACCGCATTTTACACAGCTTGCTATTGTGTGCTGTTTGTTTTATTTTATTTGAATATACCCTGCGTCCATCTAAGTAATAGGTTTGACAGAAATGTCATTGATTAAAGCAATGGTTCTATTGTCTTCCATGCTCCGTACTCCCTATCTTTGTGTAATGTTCATGGTTAGACGAGAACTCTAACTGGAACTGAGGAAAAAGAACAAAGAAGACATATAATTATATTTCAGCTTGAGATTTGTTCGTGATTCATAATGAAGTGTCCCTAATGACTTTGACGGGGTTAGGATAGCAAAGCATGTAGTCCTAAAGTGGAATCGTAGGGCTGTTCTATTGGTTTTTTAAGTCTGTATTTATTTTCTCCCATTTTCAACCGTTGGTTTCTTTAGTCTGGTATTCCTGACCCGCCCAGCATGTCCAAAGATATGGTGGAGCAAAAACAGAAAGAACGAAAATTCCTTGAACAACTTTTGGACGGTAAAAAGGTGGAAAATTACACCATTCCGGTTCCTATCAAAGCTGAGCTGAGAAAGTATCAACAGGTAGGGTGCTACAAGAAAACAGCGCAGATGAAACCTTCATTCATGTTGAAAATATGAACTGTTGGTCCCTGGTTGAAATGACGTATTGAAAACTGTGCGACGTGGGTAGCTTGTGGAAGGCTGCGGAATATTCACAGTCATATATAACCAGGACCTACAATTCTGTCTTCAAAGTGAGTCAACAGTTAAAACTGAATAACACTCCATTTCTGCATGAGAATGGTTTCACAAATTTCTGGAACCTGATGGTCTTCTTGTAGTTCACACTAAAGCATTCAAACCGGTCATTGAAAGATTGTATATTGATTCAAATTTATACTCTTATTATGCCTTTTTTTGTCTTTGACGAAAGCATATTCCTATATCTATTATCAGACAAAAGCTTTACCGAAACGGTGGCTCAGTTTTTATCAGCATCCAAGAATAGAAACTCGTGATTTCGTTAAGGCAGATACCAGTCTCCCAAAACTCAGTGTTGTGGGCACGCGAGCTGGTAAATCGAAACTTCTAGTTTCAATCTTGTTGGGAATGCTTAGATTTTCTTTTTCACTCCGAAGAACGACAAGTGCTCGTTTGATTTGTTTACTTTTCTTCTGATTTGTTTTTATTTAGGATGGTGTCAACTGGCTGGCATTTCTCAACCGGTACAAGCTGCATGGTATTCTATGCGATGGTATCCTCCATGATCTTTTTCCTCTTAAACTACCAAAATTATATGCCTAGATAAATCGTCATTCCGAACATAGACTGACTCATTTCCGATGTCATTTTAAATTACGTTACGAAACCTTCCGTACTACACAGGGTGCTGGAAGAGTTAAGCATTATACAGCTTAGTCGAACACAGTTAAATTTCAGAATAAACCAGACTTGCTTCGTCTGTTTAGTGAATTAGCCTTGTACCTTAACCCCGAGGTCAGACATGGGACTCGGTAAAACTCTTCAGTCTATTTGTATCATAGCAGGTGATCACAATGCAAAAGCTGCAGTATACAAGGTACAGTACTCGACTTCCAGGAAAAATATCCAGTCTAGGAAAAGATATGATGCGTATTTCTTCTTATATCCATATTAAAGTTATAAGGGATTATCTTTACTTTGGCCAAGTGTCGCAGTTTAAAGAAAATCAAAATGTTCTGCAGGAGGACTGACTTTACAAACAATAAAAATGACCATTAGTTTAAAATAGAGAAATAAGTAACACACTGCTGGGTCCAAAGGCTCAGAGGGCGGATAACGCTATCTAACGGATGAATCACTATCATCCAGTGGTTAAGTTTAAACACAACGTACTGCGCTACGCGTGGAATAGATAGCGATCCTTTTACTGGGTGGCATTATCCAACCTTCAAGCTACTGGGGCCTGGTCTTTTTCAGGAGATAATGACAACAAGGGGTGCGCAGTCATTCAACCTCTTTATATAGGAATGGATTTAGAGTCAGATTAGAGTCAGATTTCATTCCTGTTAGTGATTCTGCATCGCGGAACAAATGTAAACTTTCAATTATGTGAATCACAGTTCCGACTGTCCTTTTATTCTCTGCACGGAACAGGAGACTGGTAATAGTGATTGCAAACCTTTGCCTTCTCTCGTGATTTGCCCACCAACATTAACAGGACATTGGGTGTACGAGGTGGAGAAGTTTGTGAACAAAGATTTCCTTAAACCATTGCACTATACAGGCCCACCGTCTGAGAGACAAAGGTGAGTCATTATACTCTCTTTTTGGTGTTCGCTGACAGTAGGCCGTGCGTTCTAAGAAGTAATGCAACTAGTTTGATGTGTGCAATTAACTGGACAAATACAAGTGTAGTTAAGAATTCTGGGCTGGTAGTTTGAGGGGAAATTGCTTTGTTCCTCGTTACTCTTTACATGGAGGAATAACTAGTCCCGTTCTTGAATTATTTGCAAATCGATGTCTGTACAAACCCAGTTATGATTATTGTCCAGTTCCTTTTTTTTAAGTCTAAATTTGTTCCTCTTTTCTCGGCCTCGGAAAGGGAGAGATAGAGGTTTAATGGGAAGTTAGCAATCAAACTACATACATATTGCCTCAATATTCGACCATTGAAAACATTTTTTGTCTTCTTCCCTCTTCGTAGACTTCGTAACAAGGTAAAAAACCACAGTTTAGTCGTAGCGTCGTACGATATTGTAAGAAACGACGGCGACTTTTTCAGGTAAGGAAAGTTATTAAAGGGTAATTGAATATACGCTTTGTTAAAACACAGCTGCAGGTTTTTCAACGAAGTATTTCGTTTGTTTCGTCAAAGCAGATCAGTGCACTGGAACTACTGTGTCCTTGACGAGGGCCATATTATTAAGAATGGCAAAACAAAGGTAGGTTACGTTTTGGTTTTTCTTTTCAAAAAGAAAACATTGAGGAGACTGATGACATTTCCTTGACAGAAAAAAACGACTTGGTTTTTTCGGTATTCTCCATGTGTCATCCCTCTGACGAGATTTAAGCAGTTTTCCGTTTTTAAGTGTCATCAATGGATTTTCCTTGAAAATAGTTTCGAATCGTCCGAAATGGAACGGTAGCCATGTAGTGCAGTGTTCAAATTATAAGCAGATGGTAACAAGTTCCAACGAGTATTGGCCCCCCGCTTTAAACTGTTTGGAAGGAATCGGAAACAGACTCTTTTGTAATGCATTGTCATTGTGGTCGACACTGGTCAAAATGGGCGGCTTTCCCTCCAATTCTTTGAATTTCATTTTTTGTTTTTTTCCTTCTAGCTTGCGAAAGTCATTAAGCAGCTAAGAGCCAGCCATCGACTTATACTCTCGGGAACACCAATTCAGGTACAAATTGATGAGCCTTTATGAAGCAAATGGATCCATGCTATATAAATATGGGAAGATGATAAATCAACACTCATCAACTTATTCCAAAACGTTGTTCATGTTTCTTAAATATTCTACGCCACAAGAATAGATATTGAGGCAATTGAGACGTTGCTCGTTCTAATGTGTCGTTCAGTCATTTTTATTTTATTCTTACCGCACACTTTTGTAAAGAGATATATTTTCGAATAGTAGCTTAATTTTTCAGTTTTTGTATTGCTTTACCTTGTTCAGCCATGTAGAGATTTGATACGGTGCTTTACATTCATGACACGCGTATGTTTCATTTTCAGAATAATGTCTTGGAACTGTGGTCTTTGTTTGATTTCTTAATGCCTGGTTTTCTCGGAACTGAAAAGCAGTTTCAGTCTCGGTTTGGTAAACCAATTCTGCAGAGCAGAGACGCAAAGTCGTCCTCTAAGGAACAAGAGGCTGGTGAGTGTCTATAGATTGATTGCTAAGTAGCTAACCCACAGCCTGCGTAGCTGGTGGTTCTTGATGAAAAATAACGCAGTCTCAACAGTTAAATGAAAGTCATAGCTCCAGTCCTCTTTAGCAGCTTGAGATCTGGCGTAGATTTTGTTGAATGAAAGGGACAGTGACAATAGAAGTTGCGCCTCACAAGAAAAAAGTGAATCTGGTTCTTGTAAGATGCTCACGCTTTTCAGTTATCATAGGGTTGCTGCCTCGTGTATTTCAGACCAAAGTATAAGTTTTTTTTTACCTTGGATTTCACGCCGGTCTTACCCTCTTCTTTCTAAAGACCACGCCCTAAAAAAACACGCAGATAAGGCAATACACATGTATCTTTTGAAAGCGAGATGCCCCCCTCAGTGATAATTTTCGTGAAAAAAAAAAGTTGTAAGGAGTGGAAAATTGAAGGTCTCTTAGCTGTAGACTGTTTGCCTGTCAGTAAGATATCCTCTAACTGTGGGCCATGTATTAGGTGATACCGTGGTCTGCATTGACACATGTTTGCCTTTTTTAGGGGCTTTGGCCATGGAGGCCCTTCATCGTCAAGTTCTACCATTCCTATTGAGACGCCTGAAGGAGGATGTATTACAAGATCTTCCACCTAAGATCATTCAAGATTACTACTGTGAACTGAGTCCGCTACAGGTCAGTCTGCTGCCACTGGATCGATATACTATATTTTTGGACATGATATGAATATTCAAGCAGCTGTGCGAAAATTTTAAGAATCCCTGAGATGTATTTGGTTGTATATTATTGGAAAATTTTCGAAAATTGCCGTCTAGGAGGTCGTTCCTCTCACTCAGTAATAATTTTTTTCATTTTACAGGCTCAGTTATACGAAGACTTTGCCAAGTCTCAGGTCAAGAGAGGTTTGGAAGAAACAGTTTCTCACATCGACGAAGAAAACAAAAGTGAGAAAGCAAGCAAAGATAATCCTCACGTTTTCCAGGTTAGTATCGATTTCAGTCTCACTCCCATACGACAAATAAGCTTTTGATTATCGATGTTCATGTCGTGTTTCCTTATAGAATATTAGTGCCTCAGGATGTCTTCCACTCTTTTTATTATCTTTGGTTTTGTACATTGCTTCTTCCACTGTTTCATCGTCTTGATGTCATTCTCTTATCCACAAGCAACGTTTTGTATTCTCTTCATTTCATCTATAGACTGAGTCCTTCAGAACACGTGATGGCCATATCTCTTCAACATTCATTTCAGAAAACTTTTGCCATTGTTCAGAAAGAAGAGAAGGCAAAAGTTGAATTTCTTAGCTCTGCCGTTTATTTTACTTATTTATTATTTTGAATCTGATAATTGGATTGTGGACACTTTTAAAGTACCTTCTGTGCGCAGGCACCAGTGTGTCATCAGTGCTCACCACAAATAACCTTGTGCGGTATGAACATTCTACTAATCTGACGTGTGAATCATTCCCAGGCTCTTCAGTACCTACGCAAGCTGTGCAACCACCCGCTTTTGGTGCTCACAACCAATCATCCAGAATACACCAAAGTTATGGACCAATTACATCAACAACATATTTCCATCCGGGACATTCAGCATGCCGCCAAACTCGTTGCTCTCAAGTAAGTCAGGTTATTTGGTGGTGTATCCGTAAGGGATTGTGCGTTAATGTAAGAATAATACTTTGATGGCTTGCTTACGGTCAATCTAATAATTCTGAGGTTCTTAAAAATGGCGGCTTCTTACATGAATGAGATTCATAAAATTCCTCAGCTAATGTAAGGCTTTCTCTGTTTCCATCCTTTTCTTATAACCAGTTTATAAAATAAAAGTACTGCGCATTCATCACCCTGCTAGCAAAATACTGGAGGTGAAAAATGAAGCCATATAAAGAATATTCCAAGCCCTTGTCATGACATATGTGGGCATTTTGAATTTTTAACTAATTGTTAAAATACTTTTTGTGTTGTGTGGTTCACGTTATTTCAAATCTAGCTGATCTGATTCTGTCCTAATGTCTACAATTTGATATACAGGCAGCTGCTGATGGATTGTGGGATAGGAGTAGGCTCCTCATCCCCAGGCTCCAGTGATCTGTCTTCAGACCCTGTTGTGTCCCAACACCGGGTGCTGTTGTTTTGTCAGTTAAAGAGCATGTTGGACATCGTTGAAAACGACCTCCTCAAGTAAGTGCAGTCTTTCTGTTATTTTTCTTCAAATTATGTTTTTGTTGCGATGCTAATTAACAAATGGTAAACACCACAGCGTACACTATTGAGTTATGGATGCACGCGGGAGGTTGCTAAGCACGAAAGAAGCGTAAGAGTCGCTCGAGGCGATAGACGAGAGCGACTCTAGCTTCTTGAGTGCTTAGCAAACCTCCCAAGTGCATCCATAACTCAATAGTGTACGGTGTGGTGTTTACCATTTGTTTTATAACATAACATTGATACATTGTAGCTAAAGAGTTCCCTTTTACTTAACAAATCTTACGTGACCAGAAAAAACAAGCGCGCGCGGAAAAATAGTCTTTGCATTTGCTCACGTCAGCAGCGTACACCCATGGGCAAATGGGGAACGCTAAATTGACCAATCAGAGCGCGCGCTTTACTTTGGTTATGTTATAATTGATGTTGTTACAGTCGTCTTTGGTTTGCTCATTTGTCAAGTAACCACAGCAGACTTCTTGGTGGGTATTACCTCGTCACTGCGTCTTGTTGTTGTCGTAGTGGTTATCGAAACACGTTTAAAACAGTTTATATTTCTTCGACGTTCGGCAAAGACGAAGTTATCAGTTTTTCAAACTTTCTCCATATAATACGAAGGGAATTGTCAGAGTGGCTTTTTAAGATTCTAAATCTTGAAATTGATATTACTGCTGGAAACGAAGAGTTGGAAAGGTTTGAAACCTAGCCGCCTTCCACTACTCACTTTGTCTTATTCACTCAGGAAACATATGCCTACAGTGACATACCTCAGACTTGATGGAAGTACGCCTGCAGGCTCACGTCACTCGCTGGTACAAAGGTGAGAACCCTTTGATTTGAGACTTTTTGGCTCCGGTCATGGGTCCGATATCTCGTGCAACGAAGGGAGGAACCGACGGATTCTCCCCGTCAACAATTGCTAGATTTTATTAATCCACCCTTACATCTTATAGATGTAAAAATCCTAAGAGATTTCCTGATTTCAACACCTCTTTTTTGGGATAATAAACACGACATTTAACTGCATTTCTGTTACTGAGAAACTTTTTTTTTATCCTTAGATTTAACAACGATCCATCAATCGACATTTTATTGTTAACGACACATGTTGGAGGACTGGGGTTGAACCTGACTGGTGCCGATACGGTCATATTTGTGGAGCACGACTGGAATCCAATGAAGGATCTACAAGTACGTAACCACCAATGCTTTTAACCCCCCTCCCTTCCCCCTCAACCTCATGTTTATTCCAATTGATACCAAGTTTGCTTAAGCTTTGTTTAGGCAGACGTGATTAGTTGCCTTTTCTTGATTGCTTCGATTATCATTCAGGCTATGGACCGAGCTCATCGTATTGGACAGAAGAAGGTTGTAAACGTTTACAGATTGATCACACGGGGAACACTAGAGGAAAAGATTATGGGGTAGGCTTTAAAGCAGTGTTATTTAAATGGTACAGGAAAGTGAAATAAGGCTATTTTTAGAGGTTACATTCTCGACGATCCACCGTGTACCCCTATGAACGTTTATTTTATAATCATCTAGCAGTGGAAGTTTATTTGTAAAGGAGTAACGTCTAACACGTGATACATCATCAGCTTTCCAATTTCCCAAGGCGAAAATTAGTATGTGTAATCAAATGGCGACAAGTGGAATTATTTCCTAATTTCGCGAGAAAACCGTTTGATTACCTTTTAATATCGTTGGTGACAAATTATGTTCCCAAGCGTAATTGTTTTTACTGGTTTACGCTATCGAAAACTGAAAACATGAAGAATATAGTTCTCGTTTAAAGCATACATTATTGTTAAAGTTCGTAATTTTCTGAGTTTCTTCACAAAAAATACCTTTCGAATTCTTCGTGCCTGTTAATAATTTTCGGCCGCTTCTTTTAATTTCTTAACTTTTTCAAGGGTCACCGTCTTAATTCTCGACGCCATCTTGGCTCTGATCGAGATACAAGAGATATTACCATGGCAGTTTTGTAATTTCACATGTGAAATTAAAAATTAACGCTGAAATTTCGCGCCAAATTTAAGGAGTAATTTGTCACCTATGATATTATAAGGTTAATTTATTACATCATGCAGTAATGTATTTGTATATAGGACAGTCAACATCTCTTTCATTAGCGTCATCCTTTGTTTTCAAACTTGCGAAAGATATTCACATTGTTCGCTCATTTCTAAAGGTAATTGTCAACTGATAACATACTATAAATATATCTTATTGGACGTTTTGTTGAGTAGTATCGCTGAGTATTTTTACGAGTTGTGCCGTATTTTGACGAGCTCGTAGGGCGAGTCAAAATACAAACAACGAGTAAAAATACTCAGCGATATTACACAACAAAACGCCCAATAAGAGATTTTTTATACAACAAGCCAATTGTTACTTCAGTGCGGGCGAATTTCGCGTATACTTCTGGAGTACAAATATTGCGTGATATTTGTACTCGTCTCGCGCGTTATTTGTACTCTTCGAAGCACATTCGGATAATAAACCTAGATATTTTATTAATTGAGTCTTCAAGCCGAACTCTTTTTCTTACTTTCTGTTAGACTCCAGAAGTTTAAATTAAACATTGCCAACACAGTGATCTCGCAAGACAACTCAAGCCTATTGACCATGGATACTGGACAACTCCTGGATCTCTTTTCAGTCGACCAGGACAAGAAAAAAGTAAATGCAGGCGCACAACAGTCAAATGCAACTGGGAAGACCTCGCTCAAAACTATGATTGAAAATCTGGGTGAGCTATGGGACGAGGAACAGTATGAAACGGAATACAATTTAGACAACTTTATTGGTTCGCTGAAATGAAAAATAGTTTGCGTCAGTTTTAACTACCTGGCCCTAGGTATGTGTTGGTAGAGGCCAAAATGTTCTGATCATTGAAGTCTGCTTTGGAGAAGCTGTAAAGATCCAGAAAGGAGAAACGAAGTGAATCGTAGGATTTAGCACCCTTTGCGGCCGTTGACCCGCATTTTGCGAAAGGAAGTTGGAAATTATAACGTTACTAAGGGAGTTCCTTCAACAGTTTATGAAGTGACAAAAACAAATAGGCAACCAGACAACCCAAAAAAACAATTACTACAAAGTCAAATTAAAATGCTTCGGAAAATTAAGTATCCTGTACAAGGACAAGAAAATATTCGGAGTGATTTGAACGCAGCCAGCATATTTCCGTGCATTTGGTCATCTGACTAGGAAAGACACGCCGTCCGTTGATTTGTGATTCAGATCAAAATTCTCGCTTACGAAACAGAACATTTTTGGTGATGCCAATTAGACAGTGGTGGAATAAAGTTTTGCACTGTGTTATAGTTGTTATTTTATATTGTTTTGTTGATTTTCTTTTTCCCGTTCTGTTGATGCTGGGTGGTGGCGGTTTTTATTAAGAGCCGGTCAGTACAGGTCTGAACAGTGAACAAAATCCGGAACGTCCCCGGAGTATGCGTTTCGGAATCTTCAGTAAGAATGGCTATGATTTATGATCAGGTGTGGGATCTTTACTTCGCTTACTGAATTTGGGATATATGACTGTGTGAATGCCACTTTTAACGATTGACCTGTGTGCCTGGTGGGGCACTGTTTAGTCGCAGGGATGCCCAAAAAAATATTAACCAGGGAGGATTTTGGAATTTACCACAAGTGGCGAGTAATGTCGCAATCTGGTTTCCCAATTTGCCTTTGTGAAAGTGTAATGCGATCGTCCGGGTGAGTGTAGTCCTAAGGAGAACTGTTGTCGGTGGTGGTGACTAACGTTTCGACAACCTGAGCGGAAGTCTGCAAATTTGCTTTTTTCGATAAGAGTGCAGACAGCGCTGCTCCGTCAACGTGTCACGCATGGAAAATATCGTTATATTTGACGTCGATATTGAGGTAAAAAACAAATCTGCATTCTAATCGAACACGATATTTGTCATCACAGAGGATTTGTTGTGGACTCACTCGGTTGAACCTTTCGAGTCCACAACATTTTGACCACTGTGATGACTATTAAATATCGTGGTCGAAAAGAATTTGTCCCGATTAAGGAACACACTCGGAACAGATGTTGTCGAGACGCATGCGCGACTGAAAGGTGATAGAGGAGGCTTTAAGCGCGCTTTAACTCTCAAAACCAACCGAGTGCGTAGCACTCGTTTGATTTTGAAATCACGCGTATGACCAAATTGCACTCCTCTCGCTTCAATTACCTTTGTGAATGGCAGGGAAAGAAAGAGACGAATAATTTATCCAAGTTTTTAACCCCGCTCTGTCTCTCGAGTCTCCTCTCATTTGGTTGTCCTCGAACGGCTACGGTAGCCAGCCAATGTTCGCGACCTCACATAACGCTTATTCGCGGTTTAATGACTGAGACATGCGCACTACAGGCTTTAAAATTGCAACAAGCATGCAAACACTCAAAGATAACCAATACTAATATTTCTGATAAAATAACATCTAAAACAACTTAAGCACAATGATTGTCTTTTTGAATAGTGAAATAGGGATAAACACGAAGCCGTTAGATAGGAAAACATCAATCTTTGGCAAGTCCTGCCTAACCTAGTCCTAACATCACTAGTATCTGCTGCCAATATTTTGAAATATTTTATCACCTTCAAAATTTTACATTAATGTACCCTGATGACACGGATCTACTGACTCAACACATACATACACACATACGTACATACATACGTTAATTGACCACTCCCTCATAAGGCTTTTCAAGGCCACTAGAACACCCACCCATCCCCCCTCCCTCCCAGGGGAGGACATCCTCCACACAGTAATCTCGTGCGTGGGAAATTAACGTCTCCTACCCCTAACACTGCCAGGAGACGGGGCCCACGGTTTATTCGTCCTTATCCGAGAAGACTAAAATATCTATCTATTTCTTGATATAATAGAAAGGTAGCAAATTCTCCTCAGTTCTTTTAAGACTACGAGTATTGGTCCGGCCGGGGCTCGAACCCTCGACTTGCCGTACAACACAAACCGGCGCTCTAACCAATTGAGCTAACCGGTAGGCGGAGAAACAAATCAAAAGTTTTGAAAAATTGTTGAATTCGCTCTAACATCATCATAGCATGAAAAAATATGAAACCCCTTTTCAAGACTCCCCCTGTATCCAAAAGCTTTTTCATCAAAATATCTTATGCTAAAGATTAAGTAACTGAAAAACGATATAGCAAAATATCTTATGCTAAAGATTAAGTAACTGAAAAACGATATAGTGATAAATGAAATTCATTCAAAGAACGACAAAAAAAGTAAAGCAGTTTTTTAAAACAACCCACTGCATTGTCTACGTTTTCCCATTGTCTTCAAACTTTCGCGTAGTTTGTCCAAAGCCATAACTACTCTTAAAATGTGTCCTAAGTCTTTTCAAAACAAAGCTCGACAAGCAGTCGAAAATTTTCTTAGGTGCTCTTCATCAGCATCGGTGATCTCATTATGACGCAGATCAAGTCTGGTGAGTTTACATGTTGGTGTCTGTAATGCTTGATTTAGACTGACAACACCGGCATCGGTGATCTGATTAAAACTCAGATCAAGTGCGGTGAGTCTACATGTTGGTGTCTGTAATGCTTGACATAGACTGACAACACCGGCATCGGTGATCTGATTTCCACTCAGATCAAGTTTGGTGAGTTTACATGTTGGTGTCTCTAATGCTTGACATAGACTGACAACACCAGCATCGGTGATCTGATTTCTACTCAGAAGAAGTGTGGTGAGTTTACATGTTGGTGTCTGTAATGCTTGACATAGACTGACAACACCGGTATCAGTGATCTGATTTCCACGCAGAACAAGTGTGGTGAGTTTACATGTTGGCATTTGTAATGCTTGACAAAGACTGACAAAACCGGCATCGGTGATCTGACTTGTTGGTGTCTGTAATGCTCGACATGGAATGACAGAATCGACATTGGCGATCTGATAACAACTCAGATGAAGTGTGGTGAGTTTACATGTTCGTGTCTGTAATGCTTGACATAGACTGACAACACCGGCATCGGTGATCTGATTTCCACTCAGATGAAGTGTGGTCAGTTTACATGTTGGTGTCTGTAACGCTTGACATAAACTGACAACACCGGCATCGGTGATCTGATTTCCACGCAGATCAAGTGTGGTGAGTTCACATGTTGGTGTCTGTAGTGTTTGACATAGACTGACAACACCGGCATCGGTGATCTGATTTTCCCTCAGATCAAGTGTGGTGAGTTTACATGTTGGTGTCTGTAATGCTTCACATAGACTGACAACACCGGCATCAGTGATCTGATTAAAACTCAGGCTTAAGGTGGTTAGTGTCCATTTTGCTCCCATTTTAGATGTTCCTTCACTCACTTCAGATTCTTCCTCTGCATTGAGTGCACCAAAAACATGAAACAGAAAAGACAAAGTGGTGCAGTCCACATCTGTCAGTTCGCTATAACAAAATAACATACTACCTTCCTGTTCAAATAAGTCATGGCGACGTTTCTTTACTATTCTTTTAACAAACTCCACGTCTTCGTAGTCCATGAGGCATTTAAACTTTAGAAGCCGATATCTACAGACAGAAATTCCTCTTAAACGGGAAATTTCCTCTAGTAACATTTCCATGAATACGGCGTCTTTTTGCTTTGACAAAATACCGGACATAAATTGAAATACTTCTGGAGACACATGTTTGGGGGGAGTTTTTCTCTCCTTTACAAACCAACTAGCCGCTAAGTACTCTTGAAGGGTCAAGTGAGTAAAACAAAAATATTTCGTCGTTGCAGAAAAAGACTTCCTGAAAGGAGGACCGCAATGAAGAAGACCACTTCCACACAGACTTTCAACCTCCTGCGAGTTAAAAGTTTTCAAATCCTCTTTCATGAAAAGATACCTTCTCTCTTCAAGAAGTTGAGCTGCCAGCTTTGATAATTTATCCAGAGTCACTTCGAGAGCTAGTCTTTTGTTTTTATCGTGCTTTTGCACGAACACTTTGATTATTTCATCATAAAGGTCACTTGTTTTCACCGGAAGTGGATTTGTGATATCTGAATGTTGCAGTTTATTTTCGAAATAAGAACACATCAGGAAACATAGAACAGGAATGTGGGCAAAGCTGACAAGATTGACATTCTTTGTAATGTGGCCTAGTACAGTATTTTTCATTCCTTCGTTGCTTTTGAAGTACTTTCCAATGTACTCTTTTACTTGTGGCTCGGAAAATCCTGTGATTTCAACGTATCTGTCAAAATGAATGTCTTTGTCTTTCATTTCGTCAGATTCATCGGGTCTTGACGTGATCATTACAACTGAACCTCTCAGTATTTTTCCTTTAATTAGCTTGGCACACACTGCTGCGACTGGTATTTTCTCAAAGGCGTTGTTTGGGTACTTTTCATGTGAATCACTAGCGATGTAATCTCGTTGTGAACACTCGTCATACCCGTCGATGACAATCAAAACTTCTTCAGGGTGATCAACAACGTACTCAAATAAAGAGTCGTCGATATTTGAGTGGTCATCTAGCACTGAAGATCGGTTTAAGATATCCTTCAAGGTAACAGGGTCGTCCCCAAGTAGATTGAGTTGACGAAACGTGAGCAAGTATGCGAACTTAAAGTCAGGTACCTCGGTGTTTGCTTTAGATTGAAATAATTTGTTGTCAGCCCAATCTCTGATCAGCTTTTGACAAAACAGTGTTTTACCGATGCCAGCCTTTCCAGTGACAAGAACAGATTCTGGATGTTTGCCATCAGTTGAGAGAAATATGTCTTGAGAGTGTTTTATTTGCTTACCACTCATTTGACCATACTGGCGAACGCGTTTCTCTCGTTTCAAATCAAGATCTTCGACTAACTTTCTTCTTCTCGCTTGGCCATGCAGGTAGAAGCATTCTTTTCTTTCCAAATCAAGATCTTCGACAGGTTTTCTTCCATGTTGCATGAGAAGGTTGGTGAATATGTGATCTGTTCTTGCGTTGGGCAAGGTTGGTGAGACCTGAGCGAGGTACTCGGTTTGGCTTCTTATTGATTCTTTTAACGCAATGGAGTACTCCGTTACAGCTGAAAAGAAAACCGTTACCTGCATTTATTTTCATAAACCCATCATGTACTACCTTTTTCAATGCTCGATGAAGACTCATTGAACTACCTGACTTATAACGCGACTAATTATGACGTTAGCTGAGTTTTACTCTTAACTGGGGGTTCCAAAAAGTGCGAGATAGTCCTGAGTCCGTTCGCAATTAATTGACACCAGGTTCTGACAGAACAATCAGAAAAGCACACCAAGGGGTTGGTTCTGAACGTTATAAATAATTTCTTTCTTAGTGATATATGCACGCCAACATTTCAAACGTTCACTGGGCGAGAAGTCGTTAATTTATCCTAAGCAACGCAGAGGCCCTGAACTAACTTCTCGAGGAGTTTTACGTAACAATTCGTAAGAAAGAGAGGGAAGATAACGAACAGAAAAAGAGTGTAAAAGCCCGATTTTTCGTGACGGATAGTTCTTGAAAGGTCGACTAGTCCGACAACAAGGCAAAGGCTGGAACCAGTGAGCCATTTTATTAGCATTGAAAAAAATTGCTCTTTTTGATGTATCCTAAATTGTAATCTAAATCACGTGATTACCAACACTAACCGATCCATTTCGTGAGCAGATCCAGGAATTTGTGGTCCAAACTTCGATTAAAAACAAAAAAAAAACAATTTGTTTCGGTTTTACTGTTGTAAGTAAGGCCTGTGTAAACTAGGGAAAGAGAATGCGTCATGTTGTCTCCAGTTCTGATTGAGAATTTCAGCTTTTTTCTATCTCTTTCTCTTAATGAACCCGATCAGGTGAGAAAGACTTACTGCACATTGTGGTGCAAGTAACTCTTGTTGGAAATCTATGTAAACTATGAGTTCTCCTTACTCCCCGCATGAGGAACCAAGAAAAAAGAAAATAACTCATATCTCGCTCATCACTCGCAAAAAGCGTGAAAAATACAATATCTGGTATTTTTTCAAGTTTTGGATCGGAAAGGAAGGAGTTCACCCAGTAGAAGAAATTTTTCCGAGCTAAGGCTATTTCAAAGGCAGGCATTTTATATTACTGAAATAGAAAAATTGTGAAATTGCTTATTACGCTCTGACGGGAGACCCTTCAGTCGTCCCCTTCAAGTTTCTTCTTTCGAAAGATCATGAGGTCGCTGCGCAAATTTTACCATTATATGCAATACCTTTGTCTCCTGCTTTCTTTATGGGATTGACAATTGCTTCCTTGAATTCATCCAGGCTTCTACCGATCTGACCCATCTCTTTTCTCATTACATCTAGTCGTTCCTTGATGCTGACTTCATCCATCACTACTTGCCTTAGAAGCTCTTTGTAGTGTTCTTCGAAATCAGGGTCCATGCATTCCGTTTTTAAATCATCAATGGCAGCTTGGTAACCTCCTCCTCCCAATCTCACCAATGGACCTTGGATGTCCTGCCAGTATTGATTGAATGTTGCGCCATCGACTGAGGCCTCGCTGGCATGACCATAAACTGTGTTTCTGTAGTATTTGATACGAACGATATCTGCATCAAGAGTTGTGTCTGCTGCGGGAGGAAGTGTATTCCAGCCGGTAGACGGAGGAACAAGGCCACAAATATTCCTCAACAGAACCATTAGGAGAGTGGTATCGAAATTCTTCGATGAAACTGAGGATCTGAGAACAGGATACAGTTTGTCCCATTGTTGAGGATTTAACAGTTTCTTCTTCTTCAGTGATAGGAGCACGGCATGAACTGGAGGGCTTGACAGGACCGTGTCCAGGTTTCCTGGGGGACGCTTCTTTTCAAAAGTCTCTCTCAGGACATCTGATCCGACATCCACCAGAAGCCTGCATAACCGGGCGTAATTGGTTGTCTCTTTTGTCGAATGAAACGAAGGTGCTACAGCGGTGGCCATGAAGAAGTACTGGATTGTTAATTGAGCAGAGGTCAATGACTTTCTAACCAATAAATTTGGTTGCTGCTCTGTAGTCAGTGTCCTTGGTCCAGTACTGGGAAAATAAATAAGAAATTGGATTTCAAAACCAATTAACTCAGCCAAACTTCTGAGGAGTGGGATTCAGTAAGTCTGACGTTCGATTTTTAATATCTCAACTTCTTATCCACACTTCCAAATTACATCTCACGGCAAGCAAGGGTATTAAATAAAACTGACACCGCCGAAATACGTTTAGGGCACGATACAGTATTTTACTGGTCAGCGGACACCTCAACGAAACCATAAAATGCCGATAACTTTCACAATGTTTTTCGCCGCGAGTCAAATCGACAGCGTAAAAAGGCAAAACTTAGAAAGAACACAGTAAACTTAGCTTTGAAACTCGGCTCACCTTTTGATAGTTCTTAAGCTCAGTTATATAATTTGCCAAAGCCGAGCTGAAGTTGCACACGATACGAAATTGTTGTTTTTCGCTGGCGGCTCCGTGGCAACTAAGTTTTGCTTATAAAAGAGCTTATGCACTAAGGCTAAAAATGAGACGGTTTTTGAATGGCTGAAGCGGTGATCTGAGGACGCTGCACCATCAGGTTTGTAAAGCAGTGGCTTGAACCGTATAAATCGGCATGTCAACGGCATTTCGGTCAGATTCGCTCAGAAGGAGACAAAACATGCCCGCCTAGCACGGCCACCCTATCCCCACTCGTTGTTGTATGTATCATAGTTAGCCAAAAAACCTACGACTGTAACATGTATAGGACTGAAGCCCCCAAAAGTACAAAAACTGGCTCAACTAGAGGAAGAATAAACCCAGGTATGTTTTAAGTACAAAATGTCCATTTTAATGATAATAAATTAAGTTTTCACTTTCCACCATAGTTTGTAATTTTTTTTTTTCTGAGAAGCTGTAATTTTTTTTCTGAGCATTAATTTTACTTTCCCAACAAGTATTGTTTCCCATCACAATTATGAATAATTTGTGGTATGTCTTTTTTTTATGCTGCTCTTCTCTCACTAATCATTTTATTTTATTTATTTCTGCTTTTTTTTTTCTTTCTTTACTAACTTACTGCTATCTGCAACATAAAATGTACTGAGCTAACAGAATACTTCTGGTTTATTTAGCTCCCTGATTCACAAAGTAACTTAACCATCTTGGTACTACGGGAAAACAAATCTTTAAAAAACAAAAGTACTGTAAGGTAAAATAGTTATTATAATATAATTTAATCGATTTATGTGAATAAAGCACTGTATTATCTTTTCTCATATTGCAACAGCCTTGAATGCATCAACTATTTTCTAAACTTGATTTCTTATATTCAGAAGCTGCCTGAGTTATAAACGAAGAACTCTTATTGGGTGTTTATGGAGGTGTAAAGAACATGATGATTATGTTGATTAATCTTCCAAATTAGAAATGTCAGAGGGAAATGATCAGAAGTATTTCTGAAGTCAAAGTTGTTTGTTAAAAATGTTCAGGAGAAAATTGATTAGGTTAAGTCAGTTGTCAGTTCCCAGTTAACTAACACTAAGTCATGAGGAGTAACCAAAAGCTTGTAATTAGCCTGTGTACTGCTGTGCCCATTGAGTCAAATAAAATCAGGGATGGGATATTCCCAAACATGAACAATGATAACACCATACAGATGTCCTTTTCCCAACTTATTACTGGGGAGGGAGTACTGGTATGGCTATGCTAGTTGTAGTTAATAAGAAATTCTCAACAAGTTTCAGCGATATACATATATTTTGCCACCTTTAATAAAAGATGGTTACAAGTCAAATAGGAATGTTTCATGAAGATGTTCTGTGGGGATACGATGTAATACAACTGATGGGGATGATAATTATCCTTACAGTGGTTCCGAGCAAGTGATGTGTATGATTCCTAAAGCACATAGAAACTATGTAAAGCAAAGCAAAGCTAATCTAAATGAAATGGAATCTAAATAAAAAATGAATGGAAGAAGAAGAGTAGTTGATTATTGGCATAAATTAATGCAATGCACATGCAAGATAGTGGAATATACTTCAGGTAAACATACATGTGCCAGTAAAAGTTTCAAATGACTGAGTTATAAATAATACTAATAATAAAAAGAGTGGGTTTCATTGAAAATGCTTTTGTGTAAAACAAATAGAGCTGTTTGGGAAATTAAAGTAGCAGTTGTAGCAACAGGTACCAGCACACGTACTAAAGACATGTAAAGGAGATCTACAATCAATTCCTATCAATTAAGATTTAAATTAAGATAAATTGTAAATGAACCGATCATGTTAGGTCTCAAATACTACATATTTTCAGTGCCCTCAATCAATCGCCTATATAGTCTTTGTAGAGCCTTGGCGCAGCAAACACTTCACAATTTCTTTGATTTCCCCTCCCTTTGTAAACAAGTGTTATTCTGTTCATGAGAGATAACTTGTTGATAAAACTGCAAGTATATGAAATGAACAAATGTTTTCATATTTTGATTATGGACACACATTCTTAAAGGTACAGAAAATCAGAAAGGTGGAATGGCAAAAAATCAGTCTATAAAGATAAAATTCTCATCCAAGCAATTGATTTCCAAATTGAAAAGGCACCCTGCGTCGGCGCAAAGTGAAGGTGAATATTTTCACAACACAATAATTACCTGTATCGCTTTACGCTAATAACACTTAAAAATCCAACCAGTCTTCAGACTCACTGGAAGAGTATCTTACAGAACTAATCTCCTGCTTTCTCTGGATAACTATCGCTGTTTTTGACAATTCTGAAGGTGAGGGCAACTGAAGAACCATGATCGCACTTTGTAATGACAGCCAGCTAAAGTAAGCAAAGAGCACACAACTCCAAACAAAATGACTCTCCTGTACCGCTATTTGTTAAGAAGTGGTTTTCGTATTAAAAACCTATTCAAAGGATCAAATATAACAAACAAGGAGAAGTATTGTAGATATTTTACAACTTAAAATCACGCAAAAGGCCAACGTTTTCATCGAACTCAGTCTACAAACACATGTAAGCGCTTGGCAGCCTAAAGTTGATGACCACTGACCACTGTGACATCACCAAAACGTATTTCTGCTGTGTCCATTGAACTATTTTAGAATACCTTTTGAACACTGATTTCCCATTCAAAATTACCTGGTAGTGCTTTTCAAGACATTAAAAAAGCGTAACACATAGAGCCGTGTCGTGAAGATACGTATCGTGAAGTGCAAAAATCATATGGACCTTTTCTTACCAAGTTCCAATTTAAACCTTTCCCCTCTAGCTTTACCATGCATGTAAATTTGGAGAATTCAGGGCAGCATTCTGGGTCCTTTAGCTGACAGGCAATCATGTAAAGAGAAGATAAAGGTTGATCACATCTAGGAAAAAAATTTTTTTTTTCCAATACGAATTCCACCACAACAATTTATATGATGCCACTCCCTTGCAATTCATTGTTGTTTAAACTAATGCAAAAATTCTTAAAATAAATTCAATTTAACTTTTTTTTCCTCTGATATCCTTGCATTATCCCTATCCTTATTTGGCTTTCGATGATATTTCAGTATGATAAATTGATTTTCGAGGTAAATTGCAGTACAGGTATTTCATTATCCTGACTCTGAGACTGATTTTTCACAAAAAAATCAGTCTTATCGATGACATTGATAAATATCAAATAAGACATGTTGGTTCAATGTTCATCACCGAAAAGTACTTGGTCCTTAGTTCAACTATGCTTTTTCGTGTGGCTTACAAGAAACGTGTCACGCTGTGCTAAGCTAGCTATAGCACGGGGCCCACACAAGTAGCATGTCTAGTCGTTTGCTCGAAATATAAAGAAATGTATGGGAGAATATTGAAGAGTTGTAATATTGTAAACTTATATCAAGGAATGTCTATGTTAATGCTCAAAATAAATGTAAACCTACCTCACTTGAATTTGAGCCATTTGGTAGATTTTGTGTTCGCTGTTACTGTACTGTATAAGAAGGAGACAAGGGTGGAAAGCTCATTTTCCACCGCTCCAGTGCGAAGCCAATTTTCGCCCAGAAATTAGAATCGCCCGGCTTCCAATATATGGTGTTCGATTTGGAAGCCGGGCGATTCTAATTTCTGGGTGAAAATCGGCTTCGCGCTAGGGCGGTGGAAAATGAGCTTTGCACCCTTGTCTCTCTCTTATACAGTAAAGTAACAGTCAATGCAAAATCTACTAAATTGCTCAAATTCGCCATTTAGAACCACAGAAATGACAATACACAGCAAGTGAGGTAGGTTTACATTTATTTTGAGCCTTAACATAGACATTCCTTGATATAAGTTTACGATATTAAGACTCTTCAATATTCTCCCATACATTTCTTTATATTTCGAACAAACGACCAGACACGCTGCTTGTGTAGGCTGCTTGTGTGGGTACCCTGTGGCTATAGCTCATACTCTAATCGGGACTTCGATTCTATTTGTTACAAAACCACCTTACGCGGTTTTGTTCAAGTACTTTCGACAAATAAAACTTGATAAAATTCAAGCTATTGTTTGAATTTCGCATGCAATTTTCTTCACCTTCCGAAACATCTTTTTGTAGCCTCATGCTTAACACATTGACACTTACGTGTAACACGTGCCGACGAAAAGTCAAAATTTTGGAGAAACCAAGGAGGCAAACACAATGGGCAGTAAATTTTTAAAAATCAGTTTTTCCAAAAAACAAGCTCCAGTGAAAGAGGACTAATTAAAGAACTTATTTCCGGCGAAAAAAACAATAGGTGCATATTACGTTTTCACTAAAAAATCAAGATGAAAGATAAAAATCGCTAAATATTTTCGCATGTGTGAAAATGGGCATGTGGATCATATTTCAAAAGGGAATATGCAAATTTGTCCTTGAGTGAAGAGATCTCAAGTTCCATGGAACCTATCAATAGGAAGCAAGACTAAAATGGCCAAGAAATATTTCGGGGTATCAGATTTAATCAAAACAGTTTTTGATTTGCTGTTATAAGCGAAAAACATACGAATTTCTTACGTGTACATAGCGTCAAATTCATCATGCTTAGGGCCTGATTACATGAGCCAGGCTGATTTCTTTTGTTTTGGTGTTCACCAAAGCGTGAAAACAAAAGAAATCAGCCCGGCTAACCGGGCCAGCCCAACTCATGTAATCAGGCCCTTAGATCGTTGTTTACTTGCCTTCATGGCCAGAAATTGCGCAGCGTTATGTTGAAAATTCTGAAAAAAACTTCGATTTGAGGCAAAATCTTCTATTGAACTATACTTTTTGAACACATTGTTACTCAAACATAATATTTACTGGGCCATCGAAGTGTCAAATTGTCGCCAGGCCCTGCTTGAAGTCCGAAAGTTCGGTTTTCACTTTACGTCCATAATTCGCATCGCCTTAGAGAATCGTAGTGTCGTTGACTCGAGAGCTTATTCTGTCACCTTTAAGACCT